CATCATTTGCTCACTTCTGTAGTTTCTTTTGACCAGTGGGAGATACAGTAGCTGTCCAAAGGTCACTTTTTCTCTAACTCTGAACTACAAATCATAGGCTGACCTCAATGGTTTTCCTATTGCTACTTTGTACGTTCACTGTTCTAAGGGGACAGATGGCTTAAAATGCGACTTTTTGAAAAAAGGAGGATAAAAGCTTGGAGACTTTGCACCTCCTAGCTACCCACCAGTGCCATGGGAAACACTATGACATTGTTTCCACATATACAGTATGTCCAAAAACAATCTTATGCCCCATAAAAATATAATATGCACAATAGCTGTAGCATCCTAGCTGATAGTTTGTTTCACTAAAAGTGTCCAACTCACATTTATAAACTTAGTTTCCATTTTGTATGAAGTTGAACGCTCAACTGTCATGTAATACCAGTGCTGTATTTGCAATTCTTTATGTTTGTATTTTCACAGGGTGAAAAGTTGTATTGAATAGCATATTGAACCTGTTGGAGCTCATTGTGGTAGCAGACAGGCTACCTGAACATATTCATCTACTGCTCTGCTGTGCTGCAGGAGTCAGTTTTGGGTAAACTGCCGTGTGCCTGTTTGAAAGGTTAAAGGCTTAGAAAAAATGAAACGGCAAAAATGTCAGCACTCTTCTTGTGTACACAGAGGTTGCAGAAGAAGCCCCCCCCCCCTGATATTGAACTGAATGACAACAGCAGAGGGTAACACTGGGCAGCCTTTGTGTGTCGGAGGCAGGCGGGGAGGAAGCCCGGCCTCTCTCTGTGGCTCGTCTGTGAATGTGAGACGCCTCTGTTGTAAGGCCAAAGAAACCTCAGTCTAGTTGATACAGTGGGAAATTATACAATATCTATTCTTGGCACAGCAGTGGCTTCTGACTGAGGTCTTGTGGTTTGACCAGTATATTAGCAGTCCCAGCCGAGGTCGGGGCTCCCCTGCAGGAATGCTGGTAACACAGTGTAAGTGAACTGCATTCCTCTAAGGGACATGTGGTATTATTTTATACCGAAGGGGAGTTTCTCCTCAGTTATTCACATCTGGATAGCACACTGTGGCTATTCCATAAAATCTGAATGGATCTTGTTTTGTCCTCCTCACACGCCTCTGGTAGATCATTGGCTTCATGCCAACACTTGTTCACACACTGTGTCCGGTGTATAGGTGATCATTGCACCTCAAGGGTAATAATAATAATAATAATAATAATAATAATAATAATAATAATCTTTATTTGTAGAGCACTTTTCAAAAACAAGTTACAAAGTGCTTTAACAAGTGTAAAGACAATAATACCCAGTACACAGCATAAATCACAGTGCTCGAGATGGGAGGGAAAAAAACAGTAATGCAACACATACATTTTTTGTACACTGAAATGAGAAACTGCTACAATCAAACAAACTAACATGCAACCTGTGACAATGGGTTAGAAGTAGATGCTGCTTGGCTATAAAGGTCCACAAGCCAAACTGGTTGGAAACTAGTGTTTTATTTGATGCTGGCAGGTTTATTTTTGGAACGGTTTCAGGTGAGTGACCACATATCTGTCCGTTACATAATGATATTTAGCAGCACACAGTCCCCCTTTACCCATTAGATTCACTTCCTGTGACAACAAAGTAGTCTGTTCATACAAAACTGTACTTCACTTAATATTTCCCTTAAAGATGAAAATTTTAGGGGTGGGGGGGGGAAAATCGATACAGCATAGTATCGCAATATTTTGCAAGGCAATATCGTATCGTAACACGAACATCAAGTATCGATCTTTTATTATATAAATTGTACATGAGAAATTCCTTTTTTGACACTAATAAAATTGCTTTTTCATTCTACTAGAAAAAGAGTTTTCCTTTGGGGACACAATTTGAAGTTGGGAAAAAGATAAAATATTGCAATAAATTTCAATATGTTTAAAATCGCAATAATATCGTATCGTGATAATATCGTGTCGAGGGGCCTCTGGTGATTCCCACCCATACAAAATTCCCACCTTTTTATGATCATATCTCCCATTTTAGGATTTTGCTAGCCTAGTATCACTCAGCACAATGTTAGCAAGGAGCGGTGTATGTGGTCATACACCGCTCCTTGCTAACATTGTGTGTGTAATCAAATAGCATAAGCTTTGAGTGAACAGATTTGTCAGTGTTTCATGCTTGTATGCTGCAATAAAGATACACTTTTTTTCAAAGTTAATTTCAGATTAGATTGTACATCAGATTATATAATGCATTTTATAGTTTATTCTTTTAATTCACCAAAAAGCACTCCCTGGCTGACTGACACATTTCTATACAAGGCCTTCTTAAAGCTGCTTGCTAATAATAAACCTTCCACAGGTGCATCCTTGCACCATGCTAAGATTTCAGATTCCGCTAAGTAAAAGTACTTCTTATACGATTACTTGATGAAATAATCTGTAGAATACTCGATTGCTAAATTCAGCTGCAGCCCTCATTGCGATACATGTTTGCATGTTCCTAAATAATTGTGTGTTTAATCAAGTTATCAGAAACGAGTTCTTCTTACACATGGGAGTGACTACTGATTCTTTTTATTATTGTTTAATGGACCCACTACTTCTCTGCACAGATAAGAAAATGGTGAAATATGCACATCACAACTTCACAGAGCCCAAGAGGATGTGTGTGTGTTGGTTTTTTTTGTGCTTTTGTTTGGCTAACAGTGCAAAACAGCAAAGAAATTCTGTTTACTGTGATAGAAAAAGCAGCGACTGCTCACATTTGAGAAGCGGGACCCACCAAATTTATGGCATTTTTTTCTGCATAATGACTTGTCTGTGGGGCCCCTAGTGGGTTAATCTGATCCTGCTGAGGGCTGGAAGGTTTGTACTGTAAATTGTACTAGCCAGAAACCATAAAGGAGGCTCTGAGCTGATCTCTTGTCCATTTGTCTCTTGTTTACGGCTGAACTTCATGTGGCAGTAACAGTAAATGTTTTACATTTAGCAGCCCTATTGAGGACATAGAAATGATTTAGGTGTCTGTCCTAACAGTGATTTTATCTGTTAAGCTATGATAGTAAAGCACTGTGACAGTGCCTTTTTCTGGCAGCCAGAAGCTTGGAGGTTTAGACTCCTGAGGGTATTTTCTGGATGTTTGCCTCTTTTTGTGGAGGTGTCTGCCCTCCCTCTCAGCCGTGGTAAAGAGCGGGCAGAGTGGTGCGTCTGCTTCACAAAGTGAGATTATTGCTTGACATTTACCTCTCCCGTCGTCCCTCAGAACAGACGGCATAAACGAGCTACTTATTATTACACAAGCACCGTGCAGAGTAACTACTTATGTGCTCGAAATCGGATTTGTGCACTGAATTATTCTAAGAATTGCTGCGTCTGAATAATGGATTATTTTGTTTGTTTGTCAAAAATATTGATTTCTCTGTCTAAATATATTGCTGTCCATTTATATTTAGCTTTTTATTTTTATCTGACAAACATTCTTTAACAGCCCTGCATATTTAAAAATGAAATGGCAAACTGAAGTGTGTAGTTTGGAGCGCCTCATCAAGCAGTCAATTATAGGAAAACATCTCCAGCATTAAAACGCTGACAGAAGCTGCTGTTGACTCTCTGTGTTGCTGCTGTTGAATCAGTGCTCTCGTGAAGCGGCTGTATTCGTCAGCACTGCCACTCTTCAGCTTTATCTCCGTAGGCAAATAAAGTCGTGTTGATCTTTTTCCTTTTCTCACTTTCCACTCTGTTGGCCTAAGCACTGTATTGTTTTAGTGAATTACCAGTTAGACGGCGTGGATAGTTTTCCTGACTGGAAAACATTAGAAAGACGGTCATTCTGTAGACGTTTAACAGATGTTGAGTGACTTGGCTGGTTCAACAAGCAGAATAAGCCTCAGTACTTAAACAGTAAAAGAAAATCCGAAGACAGAGGTTAGACTTGAGGCCTAGGAGGCTGAGAGAGGTGAAGGTGATCATGATGGTGACCTGCCGGAGGGTTGGACTTAAAACAAATGGATGAAGTGAAGATTCACACACCCCGGCTTAATGTCAAGAGAGGAGAGCTTTAATGATTTGTGTGCAAAGAAGTGAACCATCTCTTTTGGCAGCCTGTCTAAAACTGGAAGATCTTGGTCTTGTGAGGAGGCAGAAGAAGACAGTGACATATGGGGTCTTAATATTTTGGGAGGGAGACCATGAGGGAGCAGCAATCCTGCAGACTGAGGACGAATTAAGCTCGATCAGGAAGCAGAGTTAAGGTCCGTTTATACTTTAAGCTACGCCGTAGCCTGACACGCTCCTCCTCCCCAGAAATGGCACTAAAAGGTAACTGCTGCTGCAACATCGATCAGCTCCAACTCCAGGATGATCCGCTCAGTTTTAGAAGCCTACGCCAACAAGAACAGTGGCACAGACACCAACGCACAAGTATAAATGCTCACGACGTAGGCTTCGGCGTAGACTTGATATAAGTTGGCCTTTTTGGGTGAAGGCTGGTCCGATCTGGCTTGGAGGGATAGATAAAGCTCGGACGCTGAGCTTTAGACTGGAGACTTGAGGCTCTGACTCGAGTTGGACTCGTCTGTGAGACTCAACTTGAGACTTGAAGGCGAAAAGCTGAGGAGACTTGACTTTGTTCATATTAGAATCCGGAGCGGAGATGTACAGAAACACTACACACAGACAGAAACCCTTACTTGCAAGTGGACGTTAAATTACCTGTTTCCTTTTTTGTAATTTTCATGATGGAGCAGCTTTATTTTTTCTTTTTTTTTTCCGGACTTGAAACTTAACTTCGATCAAAAAAACCAGCTCAGTAGAGTTGCTGCTGAAAGAAGAGGTTTTTATTGACTCTCAGTAATTAGAGTCACAGAGTTCTAAATAACCAGTACAGTCCCATAACCAGTAGAATTGAAATTTGTGGTATGGCTGGGTGACTTTCATCAGTCTGATTTTGTAGCATCCAAATGTTAATAAAGATTAAATGTTTCCTGTGTACTGACAGCGCCGGCCCTAAAGGAGACAACATCTATGAGTGGAGGTCTACCATCCTGGGCCCTCCAGGCTCCGTGTACGAAGGAGGAGTGTTTTTCCTGGACATCGCCTTCACACCAGACTACCCCTTCAAACCACCCAAGGTGACTTGTGAATGGTTGTTGGCATTCAGCAAAGCCCTTTCTGTAACTGACAGCTGTTTCAAAGAGGTGTCATTTTTATCATTTCCACTAGAGGGCATCCTTGCACTGTGGAATGCAGCTGAATGAACTCAGCAGCTCATACTTCAAATATTAATTCCCCAGGCCTCTCTAACATACTGCGTCCTGATGCTTGTAAGTCTCTGTGTTTTAAGGAGGAGCTGTCGCAACCAAACTGGATTTGAAAGATGTAGACATTTACTCTGACCTCACATTTCCAAGCATAGAAACTTCACAAGACGTGACCTGATAGCTTTTCTAAATCATTAGCCACTACTCCTCATGTCAGCATAAATAGAATCTATTGAGCGGCGCTTTTAAAGGTGATTGCCGTCCACTTTCTAGAGCGGGTTTGTGATAAAACAGGCAAACCAGTGAAAGTAAATAACAAACCAACTTCAAATGGATGAAACTGAAAGTGCTGCTCAGTGGGTTAGATGTTTGAGATGATGTTGACAGTTTAGATAAAAACAGTCTGCCTGCCAAGAGAGAGAGTTTAGCACACAAGGGAAAAGAAAATGTATAGCAGGCGGCGGAACACAGACTCCTCTTTTCTCATTCGTGTGTGTCCAGGTGACGTTCCGTACGAGGATCTACCACTGTAACATCAACAGTCAGGGGGTGATCTGTCTGGACATCCTGAAGGACAACTGGAGTCCCGCTCTCACCATCTCCAAGGTCCTGCTGTCCATCTGCTCCCTGCTCACTGACTGCAACCCTGGTGAGAGCTGCAACACACACACACACACACACACGCGCACAAGCACAAGCTTTGTTGCTTGGAATTATTATTTTTTTGTGTGTGTGTCAATATTAAAAGTTTGTTCCTTCATATTTTTAAATCTGAAAGGCGTCTGTAAAAGCATCGGTTTAAATACAGGGTTTTCTTACTAAAAATAATAAAACATTGAATAAATAAAATGGGGTCGGAACACGTTTTGGTTGCAGGGTTTATTTCAGCTCATCTCATTAACCGCAGTAACTCAATATTCTTCCTCAAAGGTGGGATCAGCTGCAGCTCCCCTTTGATCTTGGATGTTCAGAGGAGAGACCATAAAACTCTCGTATAGGCGGCCAAACACAATTTACAGGACTGCACTTAAAGGATTTTAAGGTCCATTCATTAAATCTGCTCCTGACTCCAGCTCATATCTCATATCTCCAGATTAAGCTGTTTCAAAATCCAGATTGTAGACAGAAGGTGGTGCTGCATTTGTGTTCAGACTTCATGAGGGGGGAAAAAAACTTAAGTGAATACATATTGTTGTGTTATTTAAAGATTTACTGCAGCATTTTGGCTCTTGACATGCAGGCAGTATACTGAGGTTTGGAAAACAGCAAGAAGTCATCCCCTTATTATCTCTGATGGTTCCTTTTAGATTTTAAGGATATGACTGTGTAACTATATTTACTAATGTAAGTATTTGATAGATGACACCATAATGACTCCTGTGAGTTAGGAGTTGGGCAAGGATTATATACATTTATTGATCATCAGGGATTTTGCCCTTAATACAGTGGTAGCTATCCCTTCAGTATCTTGTAGCAGGCCATTGTGGATGATGTTGCAAATAAAAGAGCAGAATGGCTTCACGGCAGTGTGGAAACTTTTGCAATAATGGAATGAATAAGCTTACTTTTCATGTATTTAAATTACTTGGTTAGGCAAAAAACCCCACACATTCCCACTTCATTTATTGATAAATGAAAGACCTTATGGACCTTACCTCCTCCCACCTCACTGTTGCCTCCACGTTTAAGAACAAACTATACACAACTGCTTCTTTATAAGCCCAGACAACAAAACAGTGCTCTATGCTGGAATACTGCCTGGTTGCAGGTTTTCGGTGTGTAAAGATAGAATTACAAAATGTACTTCTATACGAACATTGCAATTTGTTCATTTTAGCAAAGACGCACACGTAAAGAAACCATGTCAGTAAATTATACCATAACACAGAACCACAGATTGAAGAACCACTTTAAGTAAGAAATACCGATGTCATGTTCTGTTTCTCTGTTCACAGCCGACCCTCTGGTTGGAAGCATCGCCACACAGTACACAACAAATAGGCCTGAACACGACAGGATAGCCAAACAGTGGACCAAACGCTACGCCACATAATCACCAGAGGAGCTGCTGCTGCTTAGAAGACTTGGGGATGTGGGTGGGGGGGGGTGACTCGGGGAGGGAGGCAGGGCAGGTAGAGGGGCGGGTAAATTTTTATCTCTGAATTGAAGTATTAACTCCTGATATTCTGTTGTTTGTTGTATTTTTTTTTTTCTCCAGCCCAGCTATAATCAAATCTGGCAATAAGGCATTCAGTGTTATCTCTTTGGACTTTTAGCTTGTGCTTGAAGGTGGATGTTAATACTGCTAGACTGAACTGTGTCACAGCATGATTCCCAGTCAATTTTGTCAGCGTAAATTCTCACATGTATTAAGTTCCCATTGGTGTTGGCTCCCCCTCCAAACTCCTGGTCTTTGGAAAGGCGTTTCACACAGGTAGACATGTTTAGTCAGGGATGGATATTGGATGTGATTTGTGTTCTGTACTGATAAAAAGCTGTTCTGTTTCTGATGAATCCTGAAGAATTAAACATGACCAACTGAGGAATCTGACTTAGTCTGATCATTTGCATCATTTTTGTGATCATCCCCAGGAACCACCACCGACACTTTGAGAGGATTAAATATGAAGAGGCTACATTTTATTCAGTGCATCTTGAAACAGAGCTGCAGAGAATAACTTAGGGTTAGCGTGATTACAGAGTGCAAGTGTTGATCTCACTAACTCTGTTCTACTAGCAGCACATTAAATGTTATTACTTTGAAACATTAAGGACACCAGAAACCAGCGCAGATTATCTTTCACATTGTTTCACCATTTTCAAAAGTCAAGGAATGTGGCTCAATAAAGTGACAAAAATAAATTAGTTACAAAATAAATATTTCATTTCTACTGTTAGAAAGGATTACACGGGCTGGACGACACAGGAGTGCAACTAACGCTGTACAGACATGACAAAAAAGTAAAGGCAGTACCCATGAGTATTATTGCTGCCAGGCCATACTTAATATGTGAGGTGGACTGGACGAAGGCTAGCTGAGTCCTGCCAGAGGACAAGGACTCGTGCTGCATTCACTTCAGATGGGGAATAACATTACAGGTACAAGATTCCTGTTTGATAACACTGCAGCATTTACATAAAGTCAAGGGTTTGGTGCCAGAGCTTGAAGGACAGTTTCAGATCTGTTTTTGTACAATCCCCCCTCCTGGCACAAATCCAATGTAAGCTGAGAGAAACTGACAAGCTTATCAGTGGATTTGACGGTTTAGTCCCTCACTTTTATCATCGTAGTAGTTCCTGGGATAGAGACGAGGAAATCGCCATAGCTACCGATAACTCTTTAAATCTGCATGTGAGAATTGTACTAACATAAGATAGACTTCAAAAAAATCTGAAGTATCCTTTAAGTTTGAATGGTATATACATTTCAGTTGAAAAGGACAGTGAACATAGAGCGCAACTCCCAATCACAATCCAAAAGTGTGAATCCACCATATCTGTGTTTTGGTTGTCTCAAATCTTTGGTACTAAAGTGCTTGTACATGCTAAGTTTTTAAAGGCGGTGTTCCCATGATAAAAAAGGATTGCCAGCACACTGTACAGAGAGGAGATGTTACAGATGTGGATTTGGTTTGTGGTTCACACTTCTGTTAGGCTTCGTGTTGACACTACAGCCTGCATCCTCATTGGATTAGTTAAACATTAAATATGCGTATTTGCTTTCTTTGGCACCATCAATCTCACGTCTGTGTGTTCACTACAGAGCTGGAGTCGGGATGTGTTTGGGCTAGGTTAACATAAAGACCGGAAGCAGAGAAACAGCTAGCCTTACTCTGCCCAAAGCTCACAAATAGGAATAGCAACACCTCGGACCTCAACAGTCATGCTGCTGAACTAAAGGCCTGTCCACTTTGTCCTGCTCGTTATTCCCACATGAGGTGAATGCAGCCTACTAACAGGAGCACAGGTTAGTGAGGGGATCTTCAGATGTCATTGGACGGGGTGCCTTTGCTCTTGCGTCCCGGCAGAGGGAAGGCGGACTTGCTCTGGGGTTGTGTGAGGCGACTGGTCAGCTGCGTGAAGGGTTCGATGAGGGAGTTGCGTTCGGTGACGCTCACCTCCCACAGCTTCACCTTCTCGCCTCGCGCCCACTGCTGCGCCACCTCCTGGTCCACCTGACGACACTCTCGCAAGTCCGTCTTATTCCCCAGCACTATGACGGTCACCTGAGAACATAAGAGACGCACCTGAACCAAAACCACGCATCAAAATTACATTTTTAAAGATTTAAGTACATTATGCGCTTTACTGTATGGAGTACACACAACACAATAATACACTGATAAATCAGATTTAATATTGCCTTTTTTCAGCACTGATGTTGGCTGAAACACTTATTTATAAACATATTTAGTGAAAGTCATATTTTCACTTAAATTAGGGGATTGCATGCTCCTTCAAGAACAAAATAAAATCTACATCTTAGCCTTGTATACAACTTAAAAAGGCCACTAATAAAAAAAGTTGAAATGCTTTGCTTAAAAAAATTGGGGTAATTGTCAAAATTCAGAAATGAATTCAGCAGAAGCCTCGATAGATGAAACAAAACATCCTCAAATTTTCAGTGGATTGTGTTTTAATACTTTTGGGACAGAAACAAATCGTTGTGATTGACCATGTAATTAGCGGACAGACACATAAATACCATAAATGACTCACAGAAATGACTGACAGCTTTAGGGAAGATCAACAAATTGCTCTTGTGCCTTAAAACACGCAAACCGCTAAAAAAGCAATGGATGGAAATGTGGAACACCCCGAGAAGAACGTGCTCCCAGATTTAGCTGTTAGTGTCTAGCGATCTAATCACAGCCCCGTATTTTAAAGAGGTGGTGGAGAGTTTTGATCAGAAACTGATGAAGAAAAAAAAACCCAGCTGGTTTAAGGAAAGACCACTGATACTTTTATGGCTGTTGAATAAACTTTGCTAAAGTTCATCAGCCTTAGTGGCCAATGCTTCCCTTTCATCTTTGACATGTGATTGGAGTTTCAGGGTGAGACTCCATCATCAAGTTTGTAAGTAAATAAACTTTACTTACTCGATGATTGCGAATGGAAGTGCAGGCTGATGGCGTAGGATGGAAAATGCATCATTATATTTCACTTTAAATTCTTCAGAGGATTAAAACAAACAGGTGTGATCTTATGTGGCTGATAAATAACAATTAAATCCTGTATTGACACAGTTTCTTATGAATGGGGCTTCTGGGCTTTTAGCACACAAAGGTCATTTCTCAGTAAGTGCTAACTGTGTGTAGTCTGGTTTAGCTGCCACTTCTCAATAAACATCTATATGTCATGTTATGTAGCTAGATCGGCCCATGTTCATCAATACAAGGTGTGCAGTAGTATAAATTTAATTCTAAAAAGTAATTTTACTGGTTTCCAGCAAGTCGCTTTATTTCTAAACACTAAATGGAAAACAGTTCATATACAGTATAAGCTATTAGGAAATCGTGCTGCATGTACAGCTCAGTTGTGGACAGCAGTCTGCAGCCACAATGCAGACCTGTATGAATGAAAGCAAATTTTTTTTCTCAAACTGGGAACTTCAGCTTCAGTTTCAGTTCCTCTTTACACCCAAATTATATCTGTTAACACCTTTCACTACCACATTTCACGATATATTCAGGTGGTAGGACAATGTACAGCTGTACAAATGGAACTCGGAACCACCTGAAAGTGAACTGAAAATACGGAAAGTGCTGCTCGTTAAACTGGATCTTTCAAATGTCTTAAATGATGTCCTACGTGGTGTGGATGTCAGCAAATATTAAAGGCAGCAGTAGATTTTGGGACGCGGTCGAATGAGACATTCTCTGCAAAGAGGAGAGAGCGGCATATATTATGACTCGTGGTTAAAGCATACTTTGAACCAGCCACACCTCTTTTTTATCTCTGGACTTGTCTATTTCCTTCTTCAGAATGTCCACCTTCTTGAAAGACTCCAAGCTGTCAACGCTGTAGATGAGCACAAAGCCGTCTGCCACTGAGTAGTAGTGTTTGGGGAGGTCTTGTCCATCGTGGAGGCCTTTGGTGTCATAAAGCCTCAGCTGTTCCTTCACACCGCGGTCAGTTTCCACTGAGGCCACATACACATCCTCCTGGGTCTCACTGGACTCAGAGCCTGGAGAACGCAGACAACACACTCAGAAAACCTGGACTGGTATACTTCAGTCAGTTTTCACTACAAGGGAAACCATTCAATGATGAAATTGTTTTCAAATAGATGAAGGTCATCCACAAAAGACTCCGACATTGAACCAATATGAATCCAAATTTGACCTGTAACGTTACGTATAATAGTGCAACTGACGGATAATGTGACTCCATAACGTTACTTACCTACAGTGTGATTTCCGTACAGCAACTGTTCCAGTATGGCAGTTTTTCCAACTGCTGCCTGGCCACACACCACAACTTTACAGCCTTTCCCCATTTCGAGCCTGCAATATATGAACAGAAAACGTGACAACACTTGCTCTAAACCAGCTCGGACTCAACCCGGGGCTTTGGCTCGCACCTTCTTCTTCTTCTTCTTCTTTAGTGTTTATTGGCGGCTGTCCTTCGGTTCTTAGCTAGATAACAGGCTAACGTTAGCCGTAGCAACTCATTCCGCGTCATACAAACAAACCAAATGCGGACCACTCTTTGTATATCACTGGCACATTCGGGTAGAGTCACTTACTTGAATCAGGTGAATAACTAGCTGTCTAGCAAGGCTTTAAATGTAGCATCACAACCAGAGCATCCATACTGCTCTGCTAGCGCTGATAAGGCTCAGTCAGTCACTGCGCGTGCGCGGCCACCGAAGTTCACTAGCACTATGGCACCAGCATGATTGTTTTTTGTTTATAAAACGCGTCTGCTATATATTGTGTAATAATGTTACATAAGAGTTGTGACACCGTATTTACATGCACTGTGCAGTTTGCAAGTTTTGTTGGTGCTTACTATTACTGTTGTTTTATTGCTTACTATTATTATTGTACACACACACGTTTACAGTTTTAGAATACTCAACATTAATTCTAAATCTTTCCGTCTTTTTCACTGGTTATATTCGATACAATATTTTGAAGGAAACAAAATTTGTCTCCAATTCACCAAGTTTTCTCCATAACCCTAAGCCCATAAGAAACTTCCTGGAGACAGGGATACACCTGGTATGCAGTTCCTGATGTATTTATCCAAAAACTTATTCTTTGTACTGCCAACTTCTCCTAGGAATATACTACTAGGCTATTAAGTTGTTAGATCATTGAGACATTGACTGCTGAATCTCTAAGAAGTTGCAGCACACGCCTTGGAACAGCATCCAAAAGCACTGCATATTCTTTTGGCCTAACTAGTAACTGGAGTTCTGCAAGGAATTCTTTGTACGTTAATAACTGCTCATCAGCACTGACAAGTTGTTAAACCAACACAATACCATTGTCAACCCCTGTTCCAAAATATAGTGATTTTTTTTCATATTGAATATTCTTGTTATACCAAATGTAGTAATTAGTTGGTGAAACATCATGCTTATAAAATAATTTCCAGGCAAGCAGAGCTTGTTTATAAAGGTTTACAGGACAACCAGAGCATCTCTGCTAGCAAGTGACTCTGGAGTTCACTTACACCATCTAACTACACGATTTTTTGTTCATAATAATCTTATTACTATTATTGTTGATTTTATATAACTGTAATGGTGATAGTTTAATAATAATAATAATAATAATCCTTATTTGTAGAGCACTTTTCAAAAACAAGTTACAAAGTGCTTTAACAAGTGTAAAGAATAATACAAAAAAAGATAAGAGCATGAAAATTTAATATAAAATTAGTAAAATACAATAAAATAAAAGGGATAAAATAAAGTCAAATAAGATCGGGAAAAGCTCTCCTATAAAAGTATGTTTTAAGAAGGGACTTAAAAGAGTTTGTACACAATAAAACAACAGTGGGTCAGTCAATCAGGAAGTAGCCTAAGCTACACTGTTATCTGATAGAGAGAACTATACAGTCAATGCATTTAAATTCATTTATGCAGTTATGTCTGTAGTCAATATGGCTGTAATTTGCTTGATCAATAAAGGCTACACACTAATTATGTCCTTATTTTTTTTCTAGACTAGGCCTACTACAATACTATGTGATTAACCTATGTTGTAAAATTACTTTTAAATTCAAAATGATATTAAATAGGGCACCTGTTTAATATTCGAAATAACCACAAAGTATCAAGAAAAGGTGTGGGGGGAAGATTTACCTAAGACTACATTTCCTATCAGCCCAACAAAGGAAATGCGTCACTGTCGTTTTCATAAGGCATGCTGGGTACGTTGCCTCTCTCTTTCCGGCTGGTACGCCATCATGTAAGCGAGTATTTCTATACTTTTGTACAAAACGCAATCCATAAAAATCATCATGTATAAACTTTAATCTACTTGTTTTACCCAGGCTATCGGTTAGCGACTTATTAACGATCTACAAGCGTCAACTATTTTTAGACTAACATTGTTAAGAACACAGATTACTGCCCTGTTTTAACGGTGTCGAGATGCAGTCTAGCCGGTAGCCGCTGACACTGCTAGCCGCAGTAGAAAGCTAACATGTTACCATGCTGTATTGACATTTGTGTATATTTTCAGTTTTTTATTTATTTATTTTAATATATTTGAGATTGACCCGTGCAATGTTCTATTTGTGGTCATGCTAGAACAGTCTGGTGGAGCAGGGAGTGATAAGATACGCGGCCAACACAAGCATGCTAACGTTAGCGTTATTTCTGTTAGCTACTCGAAAAGCATGGATTTATGTACACTTGCACCTAGAATAATGTGTTCCGTATTCTTTAATAAGAGACAGCTGGTGGCCTTTCCTTACGTTAAGTGTATTACCGGTAGTTTTAAGGCTAGTGTGAAAAGTTAAATCCGTGTACGGAGTCCCGGTGGTCTTGAATCATGTGCCATTAAAACCAGAGTGTTACACGTTTTTAAATCGACTTTGATCTAAAATACAGCAATCTTTTGTTCAATAACATTACCTGAGCTAGGCAGCAACTAATCCAAGTTCTAGCTGTGTTTTGGTTTGAAAAAACTTGCAGACTTAAGTCATAAGTAAAACACTCCAATGTGATTTCAGTAAGCGTTGTTCAGGTTAACAGTCACAGGTTTCACAGGTTATTATAGATTGAAATGCAGGTGCTGACTGCATGTTGTCCTCGTTTTCTTAATAGCATCAAAAACAAGCTGTATAATACATAGAACTTAAAAGAGGTATGTTTTGTTTTCTCAGATAAGTCAACATGGGAGCATATAAGTATATGCAGGAGTTATGGCGCAAGAAGCAGTCCGATGTGATGCGTTTCCTGCTCCGCGTCCGTTGCTGGCAGTACCGTCAGCTGTCCAACCTCCACCGTGCTCCCAGACCCACCAGACCTGACAAGGCCCGTAGGCTGGGCTACAAGGCCAAGCAGGGTGAGAGCTGAGCCCAGAGTTACACCTGCACATGTCTGGTCCAACATCATGTCTGCCTACCTTGCCAATCATGTTTTTAATGTGATTCCAACAGGTTACGTAATCTATCGCGTCCGTGTGCGCCGCGGAGGCCGTAAACGCCCTGTGCCCAAGGGTGCCACCTACGGCAAGCCCGTGCACCATGGCGTCAACCAGATCAAGTTTGCCCGCAGTTTGCAGTCCACTGCTGAGGTACGTTCATTTTAGACTGTGGCTTAAAGGCGATGGAACAGTGAGTTGTTTTTGCTGGTATGATGATACTTTTGAACACATGGTACTTGACCATAATTTCCAGAATGGTCTAGGACCGCATAATGAGTCAGTTTCTATTGATGTGATTGTAATGGTGGCTGTTTAAAAAAGGTCAAAAGGTGTTGAAATGTCCTGGAACCTAAGAATGCTGTTGGGTTTACACCATACAACGGCGTAGTCCACTGTCCATCTGTAGTGTGTTCCAAACACTCAGTGATTTCACACCTTGTGATTTTTCAAGCTCACAAACATATATTCCCCTGGTCATGTTAGAGTATCAGCATTGTGCTCCTGTCGGTCAGAAGTGTAGTACCAATTTGGTTTGGTAAAGAGGTAGACTTGGAGATTGCATTGCAGCAGTTGGATTTGAATTTGATATATTGGGTTGCTGACACTAAATAGTAAGTTTTAATTGATCGTTGCATATAGAGCTGAAGTTGAGTAAGGGCTGGAGTCCATTTAGCTGTTTCAATTTCAGGGTTGTGCTACTGTAAGGTCACAGCTTACTGGCACATTAGAATTTTGACTGATTTAAAAAAAAAAAAAAAAAAAAAAGTGAATTAGTAAGTTTTATCTTCTCCTGAGAATTTTCTGCTTTTCTTTGTCATATTGTGTGAATTGAAGATCTATGGGTTTTAGACCGATGGTCAGAAAACCAGGAGGTTTAAGATGCCACCATAGGCTCTGGGAAATATAATATTGACAAAAGTAAAAATTGACAGATAATCAGTAATGAAAATAATTAGTAGGTACAGCTATACATGTTTTCCTACTGCCTGTTTAAGCATTGAAAAAACCAGTGGGGGGGAAGCACATCTTCAGCACAATGTACCAAATGAGTAAGTTTCTCAAAGTGGAAACCTCTTCTGCCAGCACAGTGGGAACTCATATTAATGGCTGTGTTGCATGTAGTTGTACTTATATCCACATTGTTTATGAAAGCTCCAATTGTTGGATGTTATCTGAAATGTGTTATGTACATGATGGTGTTGTCTCATTCATACATAGCAACACAGCCCATATGATGGGCTGTATTGCTCAGCACAGAGGTTTTGATTAGGAGGTAGCCCCAGTAATCAGCCTGGTTCTGAACCAAAGCAAACAGCCCTGCAGTGCAAAGATGCTGCAATTCAGGGAGTTTTAAAAACTGAAAACATTCAGTGTTTTAATATGATTAAATGGACTACTGATGAAAAAGGTAGAGGTAAAATGAGCTTAGGTCACATAAGCAGTGGACAAAGTGTTGTGACTGCCGATGTTTGTTTGTGTTATGTATTTGCTAAATTAAACCTGTAGCTGCAGGTGTGAGATTGAATGTGTCCACATTGGTCGGCATGAATTTTAAGGTTCAGCTGATCGTATCTCGTAGTTTGCCTGTCTTCCATTTTAAGCCATGATCACTGTCATATGAACATGTGCCCAGTTTAATGCCACTAAAGCACTATTTTAGTGCTTTAAAGTGGTGCCAAACAAAGTTGTGTGTACACAGATTGATAAGTCTACTGGTTTGGCCAGTAAAAATCATTAAGTCTATATTTTTGTTTCCTAGGAGCGTGCTGGCCGTCACTGCGGAGGCTTGCGAGTGCTGAGCTCCTACTGGGTGGGTGAGGATTCCACCTACAAGTTCTTTGAGGTGATTCTGATCGACACCTTCCACAAGGCCATCAGACGCAACCCAGACACCCAATGGATCACAAAGGCTGTGCACAAGCACAGAGAGATGCGTGGCCTGACATCTGCAGGAAAGAAGAGCCGCGGCCTGGGCAAGGGCCACAAGTTCCACCTGACCATCGGAGGCTCCCGCCGTGCAGCCTGGAAGAGGCGCAACACCCTGCAGCTGCGCCGCTATCGTTAGAGCGCGCCACATGTCTGTACATTAAAAAAATAAACAACCCTTTTTATGGTGAGACTGGTGTCTGGTTCATTCAGTTTGAATATTATTGTTTTAAATAGAACTTGATCTTTTCAACTCGCACTACCAGTGTGCACAAAAAGCTTAGAGAAATCTTCCTTTATAAACTTTGGTAATCTTGCTGGGGACTTCACTTTTGATTAGAGTTCCTCACAAGCCGCCTGATTACCCTCCCTCACTTTCCTGTTGCATCAGCAAATGAACACGTTGACAACAAGCAGGTCTATCAGCTGTGTGGGTGTGCAGGGCCTGTAAGGACAATGGAGTGTAAGAATGACCAGTTGTGAAGATCGGTCCATTCCATGGTTGGAATGCAGGCTCACAGATTACTATTTATTATGAAACATATTACATTCCAATTATTTTAACTATTATATAGCACCTTTTTACTAAGTTGTTACAATAAAAAAAAAAACTATAAAATCCCAAATGTACAATTTAAGTAAAACGGCTGCACTGTAAAGGGCAGCCAGGATTGGTGTGATGCAGTCTCAGAACATGGTAACTGCCTGCTAGCAGCATTTTGTTAAAGTTTTGGCTACAAGTCTTTAGATGTTTTGCCAACTGATAACAGAACAAAGTGAGTAACAATAATATAGTCTAAAGGGAAAAAGCATGGATACCCTGATCTGGGGTAAATGTCTCTGGTGGACATAGCAGGAATACACTACAAGAGACAGAAAAATACACATAGGTTACACGCCTATTTTTAACATTAGATAAAAGCACAAACTACAGAAGTGATTGTTAAAACTGCTGGTGCAGGGACCAGAATGGGTAATTATGACTTTTGATTGAGTCATTCCACTGCAGGACACTTGGACATCCAATTCCTAATTTCAGTGATTATATTATGTCTACATGTGATTTGCCACAGGGGTTTACAGTAGGTATATAGTAAACAAGAGGGGACCCCACAGAAGAGAGGAGCAGGAGGTGAGGAGGCATCTCCAACAGAGAAGGACCTGTTGGACAGATAAAGGTGCTGGTCATATAATTAGAATCTCCTCAAAAAGTTGATTTATTTCAGTAATTCCATTCAAACAGTGAAACTTGGATATTCATTCATTACACACAGACTGATATATTTAAAATGTTTATTTCATTTAATTGTGATGATTAAAACTGACAACTAATGAAAATCCCAAATTCAGTATCTCTGAAAATTATTACTTAAAAGTATTACTTAAGACCAATACAAAAAAAGGATTTTTAGAAATGTTGGCCAACTGAAAAGTATGAACATGAAAAGTATGAGCATGTACAGCACTCAATACTTAGTTGGGGATCCTTTTGCCTGAATTACTGCAGCAATGCGGCGTGGCATGGAGTCCATCAGTCTGTGGCACTGCTCAGGTGTTATGAGAGCCCAGGTTGCTCTGATAGTGGCCTTCAGCTCTTCTGCATTGTTGGGTCTGGCGTATCGCATCTTCCTCTTCACAATACCCCATAGATTTTCTACAGGGTTAAGGTCAGGCCAGTTTGCTGGCCAATTAAGAACAGGGATACCATGGTCCTTAAACCAGGTACTGGTAGCTTTGGCACTGTGTGCAGGTGCCAAGTCCTGTTGGAAAATGAAATCTGCATCTCCATAAAGTTGGTCAGCAGCAGGAAGCATGAAGTGCTCTAAAACTTCCTGGTAGACGGCTGCATTGACCTTGGACCTCAGAAAACACAGTGGACAAACACCAGCAAATGACATGGCACCCCAAACCATCACTGACTGTGGAAACTTTACACTGGACTTCAAGCGACGTGGATTCTGTGCCTCTCCTCTCTTCCTCCAGACTCTGGGACCTTGATTTCCAAAGGAAATGCAAAATTTACTTTCATCAGAGAACATAACTTTGGACCACTCAGCAGCAGTCCAGTCCTTTTTGTTTTTAGCCCAGGTGAGACGCTTCTGACGCTGTGTCTTGTTCAAGAGTGGCTTGACACAAGGAATGCGACAGCTGAAACCCATGTCTTGCATACGTCTGTGCGTGGTGGTTCTTGAAGCACTGACTCCAGCTGCAGTCCACTCTTTGTGAATCTCCCCCACATTTTTGAATGGGTTTTGTTTCACAATCCTCTCCAGGGTGCGGTTATCCCTATTGCTTGTACACTTTTTTCTACCACATCTTTTCCTTCCCTTCGCCTCTCTATTAATGTGCTTGGACACAGAGCTCTGTGAACAGCCAGCCTCTTTAGCAATGACCTTTTGTGTCTTGCCCTCCTTGTGCAAGGTGTCAATGGTCGTCTTTTGGACAGCTGTCAAGTCAGCAGTCTTCCCCATGATTGTGTAGCCTACAGAACTAGACTGAGAGACCATTTAAAGGCCTTTGCAGGTGTTTTGAGTTAATTAGCTGATTAGAGTGTGGCACCAGGTGTCTTCAATATTGAACCTTTTCACAATATTCAAATTTTCTGAGATACTGATTTTGGGGTTTTCATTAGTTGTCAGTTATAATCATCAAAATTAAAAGGAATGAACACTTGAAATATATCAGTCTGTGTGGAATGAATGTATACATTATACAAGTTTCACTTTTTGAATGGAATTACTGAAATAAATCAACTTTTTGATGATATTCTAATTATATGACCAGCACCTGTAGATGAACCAAACCAGCGCCACATCACTGATGCCAACATTTTTCAGACAGCTGATTTAAGCATTGTGGTCCACTGTGTCAAAGGCTGAGCTGAGGAAGAAGAGATGTCAAGGAGATCTCAAATTAAGTACACGCCTGTGTCTGCGGCAAGCCGCGTCAGTGTGTGTAACTGGTGAGAAAAGCATCAGACACAACGCTTCAAATGAAAACACTACACCAACCACATCTAATGATCATGACCTGCCGTACGAGCCAGTCAGAGAGAGTTAAAAACCCTTTTCAATTCAAAATGACGAATACTTCAAACAATACTCAGATAATGGTGAGACACAGAGCGCTGTTACAAACTAGGTGGAAAAACATGGGTTTCCACTGCTAAACTCCTTCAGTGTTTTTTCTATGAATTTGCCCTCAATACTCTGAATAAACAGGCATCCACTACCGTTATTAAATTTTAGAGCGCATCCAGCTAAACAGTTGGTGGCACTAATTCTCCGTTCAGGTGCCATTAATTCATTGCAGAAGAAGTGGGTGCAACGAGCTGATGTAATCAAAAGCACGGCAATAACAATCTAAAAGGTGGACAACAATGTGGTAAACTTGATGGAAACATGGCATTTTTGCTCGTAATGTTATGTATTCATTTGAGGGAGGTTAAAGTTTGCAGACAGAAACGGACCTAATTTGAAAGGGGCACCAGCAGACAGACGCTGTTAGAGACCAGCTGGTGAACAAAGTGGAGCATGTAGCAGCTAAAGGGCCAGATATAACCCTCAGTAGTTAATTAAAAGAGAGTAAATACTGATATTACATACATTCATCAAGTGACACAAACTAAATTCCAAAAGAAAAATAAGGTTGTCTTTTATATTGATATATATTTATTGAGAAATATGAGCGATAAGGAATAAACACGGTCATGACTATTTTAATATATAGTGTATATAGGGTATTTGCTCTATGATCTATCAGAGTTTGTTTAAACGTTTTATTTAGAATCTGTTATGTGTTTCACATCTACTCCAACCATGGTCTGGATGTAGAAGTGAACCATCCCTGGCTTTGTTTTTGGCATCATCTTGTGGATCCACCGATAAGTGCATGGTGCTGAGGAGGCAGACATTCTTCTTTTCTTTTCCCTGGTAAATGGTGAGGGTTGGCTTGTCGTTCTGCATCACTTTCGTGTCATGCGGTGGAGCTTTCTGGTGTGCAAAAGGACGCAGTGACCTCTTGTTCTTGTTGGTGGTGCCAACAGGGCCTGTATTCTTGGCCAGGAGTTTGTAGGAAAGTGTTGTATGTCTACCCTTGCCCTAATAAGGCTCCGTCAACTTCAGAACCACACTCTTCACGAGACTCTGAGTAGCGGGGCGGCTCAGATCCATCCATGGACCAGATACAGTATTTCGTCTCCACATCAGCAGGGATCCAGAACTTGATTCTGAATTAGGCAGGTTTCCTCAGCATGTATTCAGTGAAGGGGCAGCAGGCTTTCATGGGGGACAGCTGTTCACACACAGGAATTTCTTACACTGGTTTGTATGATGCGATGCTGTTTATCAGCCTGTCCAAAATATCACTCACATCAATCGGACCATCATTCCTATGAAAGTACTCAAAGGATCTTCAAAGTTGTGGCGGGCGTGTGCAGTTGGTCCAGCACTGTCAGATGTCCTGGTGCGTGGATAGCTCTCCAAATCCTCACCTCTTCCCAGTCTCATGCTAAAGCTCACCTCGCGGTGGTTGAGCCGACGCTAAGGAATATAAATGCGTATAATTAGTTTAGATGAACATTCCTGAAATTGAGCGGAATGTGTCAAATAAGTAAGTCTGATGGAATTAAACATAAGAGAAGTGGCTTCAGTGGCTTGTAAGTTCACCTGTCATTTGTGCTCCAACAACAGAGGCATCCCTTAGCCATGGTGGAGATGCAGGCAAGTTTGATGGTTGCTCTGTTGAGATTAATTTTAGGCTACATTAGATTGTGATGGGTTTATGCCATAGTTATAGTCGCGCATTTTAAAGCTGAATTGTAGGAGCCTGCCTTTCACCGGAAGCCTAGGCCTTTTTGTTCTCTCGACAGGGTGGAGGCTCCTCAGATTAATACAGTTAATCAGGGGGAAATGACGGGTCACTCGCTATGTATTGATCTCTCCCCCATCAGATTCTCCCTCGCTCATGTCCTGAAGCATAATAATAAGCCTACCAAGTAAGGCCTTGTCTGGCATGATCCTTTTATTGTAGAAGAGTTTCCCCTCATTTTTAACCTTAATGTAACCCTGAGAGCAATGCTTTCTTTTTCAGTTACGCTGTTCACTCTCACACAGTTACATAGACTCCACTGAGGTAGATTTGGGGTTAGGGGCCCCACCTGGACTGTGTTAGGATTGACCTCACACGCCTGTTTCTTTAACCTATAAGCCACCACTCCCCCACATGGAAAATTGTATACATTCACTTGTGCACGTTCCACCGGTGGGAAAGTAAAATGAGGTTAGGTTTTATGGTTTTGAAGCAATAGCGCCTCTGAAAAAGTGCACTTAGCTGGGTGTTGACACCAAAGTGAATTCAAAGAACTAGCACAGATGTGTCACTTCATGGCTTCTGCAAAAAAACACAAAGACAACAGCCAGGGGACTGGCCGTCAACATGCACGTGTGTTCTGTGCCTGCTTGAGAGGAAAGAAATAGCAAGTGGTGTGTATTTGTATTCCAAAAAGCATCAAGTAAAGACAAACAACCATTTTCACGCCTATGTGACTTTAAATAGATATCAAGACAGTCAAAATAAAAACTGAGATCATGGGTGAAAATGTGAAAAGTTTCCTCGCACTGACGTCAGCCTCTGGTGTGGAAAAAAAGATGATATAAAGAAAAGGCATACAATTATGTTATAATTATTAATTATAATTATTATTATGTCTCTCTTTCTCTCCCTGTGCTTGAGTTTGGCCTATAGACTGTCTCTAAGATGAGATTCAATTTATGATTTGTAATTGATATGTTATGATAGCCATAGTAATACTGGTTGAAATAAACAATTTGATAGCCTATTTCCCATCTGCCCCTAATATAGGCAGGAGGAGTTAAGTGACTGAAGAACGTCTGCATATCAATATGCACAGCGGGGGCTATGTATAGTGCCCATATCATGAAATTCATCACATCTACCTGTAAGCCATCGTCGGCACTGTCACCTCCATACCCACCATGAAACACACATATTGTGATTCATCAAACAAAAGTACATCGTGCGATCCTTTGATGGACATTGTATAGATTGTTCAGTTTAACTGGCTGGAATCAACTAAATCACGGAATATCGTAGAATCTTCCAGAAATGTAGATGCAATTTATAAAAATGTGGGGTTTCTCTAGCATCATAAGCGTTTTTATCACAGCATTTGGCTAAACGAACAAAAACACTGCACTGCTATGTTTTGGGGTCATTTAAGGCTCGTGCAGACTACACGACTTTCAGCAGAAGTGCCATTCACACTACACAACTTGCCGTCTTGTGAGAGAGCTGGAGGTGAGTAAGAAGTGTTTTAAAGTGAAAAAGTAGCTGCCTGCTCTCATTGGCTGGATGTGGATGTCGAGTCGGCAGACTTCTCCAGATATTTGGCTTGCTATTTTTTTTTATATTTTCTTGTTGATCCCTCTTTGTGATCACAAAATGTGCTTAAATTGTAAAACAGGAAAAAATTAAACGGAAAACACGGAGTTTGGGAAAAAATCAAACAGATTTAAACGGATTTCATAGGGCCCTACCTAAATGAATTAGGTTTTATTTTCAATTTCACATTTCTCATAGTCCCACGACCCTGTACGCTGGATAAGCGGTTGACGATGGATGGATGGATGGATTTCTCATAGTGTTTTCTCTCCACCTTATTATATCACCCTAGCTCTAGAAAACCATGTTTGCCAACTATGTGTTCTGCATGTTTATCTGCATTCCACTTAATGTACAGGAAATGGCATTTGCATTGCTTATACATCGGGGGCCTAGAGTCCATATCGCACTTTACATTTTGTACCACCAGGTCAGACTTAGCAGGAAATCTGCTGGATTCTGGCACAAAATAGTGAGATGGTGCTGTTCTTCATGTATAAATGAATTTCTGTCAAAAGGCGAACGAGGAGGGACAATGACAATGATTCATGAATACTTCTTTTCCATTTTTGTGCTGTAACTATTAAGAGTTGTAGTGTCTTTTTCTTTTATATCGCTGTCCTGCAGGGATATGGGAATGTGAGGCTGCGCAGGGATCAATAAAGTGTTAAGAATATCTTACTTTGTTATGTTAACTACTACTGAATGAATTCACTGGGTCAGAGTGACAACATATTCTAGTCGTTAGCTGAAAGTGTTTCCCTGACCTAAAAAGTGAAATGGTCAACCGAGAACATGCCTCACTCCCTCTATTGTCTCTCCTCTCCATGCACCACGGGGCTACAGTTTCCTCTGACCTGCTGTGTGAAAAGTCCCAAAACAGCAGGTAGAGAATGGTGGTAAGGTACAGTGTGGGATTTCTTACTCCTAAAAAGGTTTCATTGTAGTCCCCTAGGAAACATTAGCGGGGATTGCGGGGGAGAGCCTTGGGAAATGCCTGGTGCTACATACTTAATGTGGAGCTTCAGCCATCCCCTGCCGGCGGTCTGTGACAGGGAGGAGGGAAGCTCGTCCATGTCATTTTAACCTCGTAAGAATTCAGTGTGGGGGAGAACAGCCTGACAGCCTCATGGCATTAAGCCTTAGATTCCACTACTCTATTTGAACAGTATCCACGGCCAAATGCTGGTGTGTTTGTATCTCACATGATACCAATAACACAAACTAGTGAAAGATGTACGACAGTGCGGTCCTCACACAGTGAATCTGAATGTTTTAATGAGGAAGTTAAAGCAAACAATTGTTGTCTAGTAGGTTTTAAAGTGGTGTTTTGTTCTGTTGAGTCAGGCTTTAATGGGACCTTAAATGTTAGCTTATGGTGCTCTACAAGATGTGTTAAATGATTTTAACCCATCCAGGGATGCAGTGTCTCCCACACAGAAATGATTAAACCAGAGCAGACTTGTGAATAAACGTGAGCTTTCAAAAGAATGCTTTCACACTAGTTGTTCGGTTCATTTGGTCCGGTCAAAGTGAAAAAAATGATACGCTGTTGCATTTTAGTTCTGGTCCGGTTCATGTTCACACTGCAGTTTTACAAACAAACCAGAGAAGTAACCACGACGTTACACAGATGTACAGTTAACTAAAATCCTGTGGTTGGTTCGTTTGCTTTCACACAAGCAAACCGCTCCAGAGTTTGTTTGAAAGCGACCTCCTTGAAGAGGTGAACTGTAGTGCAATTCAACCGAACTAAACGAGGCAGGTGTGAAAGCACAACAGCTTCCTGCCTAACAAAGTTCTCTAACGTCACCTCTTCTTTTGAATGTGAAACGTTAGTGTGAAATCTCAAAGCTGCAGGTCCTCCTTGTAGACAGTCATGTAGTATAAGGTTAATTAAACAGCAGCGTTTCCTTTGTGTCACAGTACCATAGACGATATGTTTTAGAAAGTAGTCATTGTGGCAGATTATATGTAAGGTAATAACTATTACATGACAAAAAAAAAATATAATTATTTGCCTATGTAGGAGAGCCCTATTTATCATTATTATAGCAGTGACATTAGATATGCTATATGGTATTATTTGTGGTGGTAATAGCAGTAGTAGTATATGGGAAGTTTTCCTGGCCCCCACAATACACTGTTTACTTTAATGTTCATTAGATGTAGTACTCCATAATTTATAACAAATCAGATATTTTTAAAAAAGTTCTGTAGTTTTATTTGACTCTTATTCATCAAAACCTTGATATATTTTGTTGTACTTTTGTTCAAAGTACTATTTACAACAATAAAAGTTTATTTTATACTCCATTATGTCATGGTATCTTGGTGAGGTCTCAACATAACAAATGTTAGGGATAATCTTTGTTTATATCATGCGTTTCTTAAAATAAGGGGGAGAAAAACTATATCGCCTGATACGTCGGCTATCTGATTTTAAAAATCTCAAATATCGAAATCGGTATCGGACTAAAAAATCAGTTAGACCATGTCAGAGTTGGCAACTTCGTTTTTCATCTCGGATGAGGGCCGTGCGTTGTAAGGTTAGTAGGCTGTTCTGTCCGCTGTTTTTCATTTCCGGTGAGAATTCGCTGAGTCACTGTCTGCTGGCAGATTTCAGCCGCAGCCTCTCTCAACAACCTCACCTGTGCCATAATTATCACGCTGTTTCCTTGGTAGGCTAGAGGGATAAATGCACATTTTTGTGCAACTTAGAAACATTTTCAACTTGCGCAGATGGGTCAACATCTATTTCAATGGTGCAAATTCTGCAAATTCTCACATTGAACGAGCTGGAACACGCATATATTGGTGAGTGATAATCAATTGTCCAGTGACTTTGTTTGCAAATGCCTAAATTGGCCTGACCTTCTGTTTGAACACAACTTTACACCCGTCAGAATGACTTAGCCTGTCTGTAGGAAAACATATTTAGTAACACAAAACAGGTATACTGCCAATAATATATGAAAAGCAAAGGAGACAAAACTTTTACTTATTACCAAATATTTCGTCAGACATCCTTGAGTTTTCCTTTGCCCTCCTTTAATAAAAAGTGCAAGAACAAATTTGGGCTCAGGCCAAACCATGATGACAAATAAAATGATACTACTATTATACTATTACTACATACTACTATGTTGCAACGAACTTTTTTGGACACGGGACGTGCCTGCTAACATTCTTGGTTCACTTTGATTGGTGAAACTATGTCAGTGGGTTACATTGACACCAGTGCAGGACTGCAGGGAGGGCGGGGCCGATGAACTGGGTCACATGGTTGCAGGCTGATCGCTACTCGCAACAGTCGCTGCAAAACCAGTCCTCCAGACAGAGTCGAGCCTTTACCCCTGTACCATCCCTGAGTGGAATTCGCCATATTTCGAGATTGACCTCAATAACGCTGAGAACAGACGCAGCTGTGTTTCTCCTCTCCTGGCAGAAAGAACAAGACCACCACCGAGAAACTGACATTTCGGCGTCGTTCGAAATCTTGAAAACTCGCTGCTTCGGTTTGATATGTGAGATTTCTTCTTCTTCCTGTAATTGTATCTACGCTAGTCTGTCACTGACAACCGACCGTAGTTTGTACGGTCTTTACCGGGTTTAGGCGTCGTTCATTCAAATGTTGTAACGTTAGCGTTACAGCCAGTTTCCCAACCGGGAGCCATCAGCGACTTCTCAGTTGCTGAACACAAACAGAAACACGGCTTCAGCACTGAGGTAGCAGAGGAGGAGGAAAGCCCCCAAACTCGCAGGACATGGAGTCGAGCAAAGCTGGTAAGTGTGCATTAACTGTAATTGAAATGAGAGGAGCTGCAGCTTGTTGCACTGGACTTAATATTGTCCTGCCGTTAGGTGCAATGGAATTACGTTTGGTGAAAGTAGCACGACTAGCTAACTAAATGGGGCGCACTGTCGTGTTATATCGTTAAAAGTCTTTACATTCTCACGAAGCATTTAAAGATGTTAAAGGTCGTAGCGTGCACTGGTGTGTTAACATTAAACTGGGTTAGGAGTAGCAGTGGGCTGTTGTCATTACCTAAGTAGATAGCTTCATCAGCACTGCAGTCCTCCCTTCTCACATGGACTCACCAGCCTGGCCATGTGCACCAGTGTTTACGCTCCCCCGTGCGTCGCCGCTCATTGGCCGAGTGGCGTCGTGACGTGGCGCATTGCATAATTTCTCCCGTCAAGATGGTGTGGCGTCTGGCCGCGGGTACACGTGAGGCAGCTCGCGGTGACCACAGACTGCAGGCGGTGACCCAGTTTTCCCGGGGAAAGAACATGCCTGCTCCACGTGGGGGCGTGTTGAATAAAGTCGTCGAAAGATGTGGCGCTTTCACGGCCCCTGGGATATACAAGCATCTACGCGTAGAATGCAGTGTTGTTCAGGGACTTCGGCTGAAAAAATATTTCTAGAAATTACTTCCAACTCGTTTTTCATGTGTTAATATATAAGCTGAGCACTGGTTTTAATGTTAACATTGTTAAATCGGCCATAGAAATTATTTGTGTAGTGGGTGTGTTACATTCCCTATTGGGGAAAAAATAAAATAAAATCAATACTTTTCATTACATGCCATTTTACAAATCACCACTGCTTGCAAAATCACATTACAGGACACATATGACTTGATTTAGGTATTTGGGGTTAAGTTTGCCGAATGACTTGTAAAAGCTGATATTTCCCATGGGATTGGAATGCAGCATATTTTTCTGCATTCTGAATCAATCCAATATCCTCAAATCAAAAAGTTTAGGGACTTGATCCTCCAATGTAAAATCTTACGATTTTTCTCTTTAACTTTGTACTATAGTAGTAGGCTACTGTGTAATTATGTACTAAGCAGAAGTAATACATGTTAAGTTTGGTAGACAAAGGCGTTTTAGTGTCACTTCGCCATTTTTCCATGTATTCTAATACAGAAATATAATGACAATGGGTATTTTCAGAGAGTTTAATGTCTGTAATAACACCATATTCTTGAAATGTGTGAGAAAATATCACATCATTGGATTGGATGAAGCGGGCCTTTTAATGAGGTCAGAACTGATGATGAAGACAAACATTTTATGGTATCTGTCCTATTTTCTGTGGAAAAGAATATGTGGTACTATTTTTGTCTCAGTCCACCTTTATGCCAGCATTTAATCCAATAGTTAATGATACCTATTCGTCAGAAAATCACAACATGAAAAATGCAAGGGGTGCACTGTCAATTTACTTGAGATGACATGCATCACTTATATCAGTACAATGTGTTTGTCTAGATACATTTGTTAAAGGGCCTGTATATGTGAATTGCTGCAGGGACAGGCCAAACTACCTACTACACACACCCTAGTGAAGCTGACATTATGTAACGGCTGTTACCTAATCAGTGAGAATGGCAGGGGAAGAAATCAGGTCAGCCTGTGTTGAAGGGGAACACGGACTCAGCGGCAGCAGCCTGCCTGCTCGGCTCCTACTGGCTGAGGAAGTTGATGTCGTATTATGGTCTGCCCTCTTTGTGTTAAGCTTGTTGATTCCACAGCAAATCTGCCTGGGGCTGGTGATAGGTACAGCTACATTTCATGTGAGGGAGTAGCAGGAAGTTGGAATGAGCACTGATAGCGACCACGACAGATCATGTAAAGAAAAACAAAAGCGCCACATGCAGAAACCTGAATATAAACAGAAAATTAAAAGACAAAAATGTCACAGTATTTAATAGACTGGAATATTTGATGCTAAAACACCACAGAACAAGAGAGAGAATTAAATTGTGCATTTGTTGGGGACTATTTTCTGCAGCAGATTAAGAAACATTTGTTTCTTTATTGAATATTTCTTGCAGCTGTGTGTGTATGTGTGTGTGTGTGTCAAAGCTATTGAGTGTGTGTTCATGGTGTTGAAGGAGCATGTCACCCAGTGCAACAGTGAGGCTCACTCATGTGTCTTTAATAGTTTCTGGACAACAATGGAGCTCTGTGGCTCAGAGAAAGAAGATATATTGTTGGATATTTTATATACACACAATACTTGTTACTAGGATCCATTCATAGTTGGCTTAGGTCTTTTCATGGGGTTTGTTGACAGTAAGTAAAATATAGTATCACCAGCCTTATGTTTTAAAGGTAAGAAATGAAAGCTGTCCACATGTCTGCACAGTGTCGCTGCAGTCCTTGTCTTCATGGCCCATTTTCCTCTCTGCCACCAGGAGGCGTGATAACCTACATCAGCTCGTCCAGCTCTGGCTCTAGCCCGGAGTCGTGCCACAGCGACTCCTCCAACGGCAGCTACCAGTCGTCCTCCCCGCCCCACGGCTCCTCGCCCAGCCGCCACCGGCCAGGTCAGCCGGCTGACAACACGCTCCCCGCAGCCGGCCAAAACCTTCCAGGATCTCAGAAAAGTGGACGCTCCTCCTCCACTGCAAAATGTGGCATCACAAGTAAGATGATCGCTCCATTTTGTGTTTTGAGAAGCTAACTGTGCTAATCTGTAACTTTGATCAAACTGAGAATGTGAGAGTGCTTCTTTTAGGTAGGAGAGTTTCCTTTTATTTATAGAGATTGACTTTGCGTGCGGATCTTTATGCATGATTGGAGACCAACAGTGGTTTATTCCAGCAGAGCACAGTTAAGGACGAGTTCCCTTATGGCCTCAGACAAACATCAAACCAGTTATCATTGAATTTTCTGAAAAACTTAACAGGATCCAGCAAATAAAATGTGAGTGTAAATTTTACTGTAGTAGCAGGGTTAGGGCAGAACCAAAGCACCACACAAGGTTTTTATTAACTTAAAATAAACCAACAAAATGACAAACCAAGATTCTATTGATTTCTTACCTTCAAGGTAGCTAGTTTCAGCTAATTAGAGTACGATAAAAAAATTTCTCAATTGTATCATAAGTGAGGTATTTCAGATGACCACTGTTTACTATAAAAAAAAAAATGATAAAAACGAATTGTTGTTTGTTATGATTTACCCCTTCCAAGGCACTGCAGGTTGATTTCATAGTGAATTGAAAAGAGAAACCAAAGCTTGCCCGGAAACAGGCCTGTAAGCAGGATTTTAGAAACACTGAGGTCTGTCAACGCAAAGTTTAAAAGCCGTCTCTTCACTATCAGGAATAACATTTGCGTGGAGAGAAATTAATTCGTTCTAGTACATTAAATCAACATTTAAAAATCACATTTTCACATCATACATTTCACACACGAAATGTCCCTCACACTACACTAACCTATATATGAATTTATCATTAATCCCACGGAAATGCTGTTTTGATACGTGTGTGTATGTGTGTGTGTATATTCACAGGCGATGTCTTGAGATTTTGCATGTGAAATATCTGAAACGTGCCTATATGTGAGCTTTTTGCCATATTTCAAATTGTGCTCCACATGTAAAATGTGTTTTACTTATGATTCAGTTGCTTCTTTTTGTAAGGCTAAATATCCGAGCCTACAGTCTAAAATACAGAAATAAGCCGTTAAAAAATAACCACATGTATAATAATGAATAAATAAGTTTATGATTGTAGAAAAGAACTCCACACAAAAAATAGTGAGGATGTGATCTGTGATGGTAACTATGTCACTGGCTGGATTGGAGGCAATCACTCAAAACACACTGCACTTTGGAAAATTGTTGGTAGTAATGTAAAACGTAAACTGTCTTTAGTTAAGGAGAAATCAGAAATCACTGGTGTTTTCCTTTTTCAGACGAACTATATGTGTAATAACGTGTTTTTGTATCACTCAGAAATCAACGGCCTGGTGCTGCTGTGTAAGGTGTGTGGCGATGTGGCCTCTGGTTTCCACTACGGCGTGCATGCCTGCGAGGGCTGTAAGGTGAGGGTAGCTCTCTGAACCCCCCTCCAAAAACACACACACGACACTGAGTCACTTATTTTCACTGCGACACAGTGATGGAGCTTGCGCTGACTTTGGGGTGGAGTTGAAGTACGGCTACAAAGCAGAGCCTCAGTGAAAGTAGTTGCCCCCCCCCCCCATATTTATATATCCGCTGCTCCTCATACTTCACATTACTGTGTGGCCTAGTTAACTGTCGGGAGCAAACACACCACAGTACGCCTTCGAGGAGGAACACACACACACACACACACACGTTTTAGACTAATGTATTGGTTAGCCAATATTATACAGTTTTAATGAATCTCAAAACTGCAAGAAATGCAAATAATTTAAGTGTTATTGACATGAAGATGCACTAATTTAAAGGTCATTATTTGAAATTGAATAAAACCCATGTTGGTCTAATTTTGACGTGTCCACTCACAGTAATCTCGCCCTCTCTCCGTGACTTGTGTGATCCCTGTCATCACGGTGCGCTGTTTGTCTTTATGAACACACAGGGCTTCTTCAGGAGGAGCATCCAGCAGAACATCCAGTATAAGAAGTGCCTTAAGAACGAGAGCTGCCCCATCATGAGGATCAACAGGAACCGCTGCCAGCAGTGCCGTTTCAAGAAATGCCTGATGGTGGGAATGTCCAGAGACTGTGAGTATCTGTAGAAGTTACTGTCAGGCTCATTGGAGCAACGCTCATTTAAAAAAAAAAAAAAAAATAGAATAACCAAACAACCTGAGTGGAAGCGCCGAAAATTTAAAACAGTCTCGTAATATCTCAGCAAAAGTTTTTATACTTGGCTGAGGTTTATTGAGGGAAAATAAAATGCAACAAAGTGAAGTCAGACGTGGCGGATAAATGATAATGTACATATCCTAACGGCTGTGGTTCAGAAAGTAGAGCGGGTCGCCCGCTAATCAGAAGGTCAGCGGGACAATCCCCTTACTGCTCCAGTCTCCATGTCAAAGTGGCCTTGGGCAAGATACTGAACCCCATATTGCTGCTGAAGGCTGTGCCATCAGCGAATGTGAATGATTAGTTCCTTTCTGATGTGCAGTTGGCACCTTGCATGGCAGCCACTGCCATCAGTGTGTGAATGGGGTGTATGGGACATGTGAGAAGTTTTGAATGATCAGAAGACTAGGTGCTGTATAAGTACAGTCCATTTACCATTCAACTGAAAACCTGGAGTGATGGGACTGTAACATTTAATACATGATGGTGCAGTGGATAAGACACTTGCCTCTGGTGTGGGAGACCGGGGTTTGATTCCCACTGCAACATCTACCAATGTGTCCCTGAGCAAGACACTTTACCACTAGTTGCTCCAGAGGCGTGCGTCCTCTGCTCTGGATAAAAGCGTCAGCTAAACCAATTATTTATTATAATTCCTATAATAAAGGATCAAATTGTTCAAAACTAAGGACATCCATCAATTAAAACATTATGAAATAAATAGTTATATGAAAAAATACAATCTTATTAAATATATTTTTTAACATTACATAATAATGAGCCCATGGATACCATATTGGATTATTTTACATGATATAGCCCAGATTTCTGTCTGTATTTATTCATTTGAATATTCGTTTTATGATATGATTTAATATAAAACTCTTTTTGGGCCTTCATAGGGGGACTCACAAGAGACTGATTTAGAAAGAACAGCAGAAGCAAAGATATTCAGATTTTGAATCCCATAGTTAAATCCCTTGATTTAACTCAATACCTTATTTTTGTTACATTCCTGCCTGGTAAATAAAAATCAATGGAAGCAAACTGACCCAGCTCAGCGTGGCTCAGTCAGCGGGTGGGATTTCTAACTGCTTTTCTGAAGAATAAAAATTGCTCACATGATTCATTACTGACTAACTTATAGTGCAACACTATAAAAAAATAAAGGTGAATCCTTCTGAAATGATTCTCCCCTCACTGTTCAGCTGTGCGCTTTGGCCGAATCCCCAAGCGGGAGAAACAACGCATGCTGCTGGAGATGCAGAGTGCCATGAACAACATGATGAACAACAGCCAGCTGCACAGCAGCCAGACCCTACCTATTGGCAAACCGCTGCCGGCCAGTGCCACAGAACCTACCTCCGAGGATGCCGGCCCCGCCCCTTCCTGCTCTCCATCCAGCCAATCAGACTCCAGCTCTGAACCTGAACCCACCGTGGCCATGGACACCAGCCCCAGCTCGGCCTCGCCCAGCACGTCAGACAGCGGGGAGGAGGAGGTGATCGGCTCGGTGACCAGGGCCCACCAGGAGACCTTCATGTACAACCAGGAGCAGAGCACCCTGACACCTGAGGCCCCGCCCCCCACTGGCTCCCTGAACAGTGGCTCTGCCAAAAACACCACTAACCTGCGTGAAGAGGAGCAGCAGGATGCCTGGAACCACCACAACAACCTGGTCACCATGGCAGCACAGGACCCCCCCTCCAGCATGGGCCCCCAAGGTCAGGAGGACAACACCACCAGCCACTGCCCCTTCAGGCTGTCCAGGAGGGCCGTCTCCAGCCACTGCCCAGCCTACACACACGGAGCGTTCAGAGCCCCGTCCACAGAGGGCCCCGCCAATGGAGCCCACACTGGGCCCCTGTGGAGAGGAGGCAACAGAATGCATCTGGTAAGATTAAAAGGTTTCAAACACAAAGCCAATTAAACAAGCTTTAATTAAGGCATTAAAGTATATTAAATACCATTTAGAAGGCAATGAGAATTCAAAATAAAATAAATTAGAATGCAGTTCGATAAAACAGAATGATAGCAAACCAATAACTGCTTCTCATAGAGGTTTGGTGAGGTCATAACAGTGAAGCAGTTCAGAGATGTATTTTTCTGCGGATCCTCTGAAATGCTGGCAGCCAGGGCAGTGATCTGAGAACAGGAGAAATATGTTCTTCTGAATCAGACTGACTGAGACCTGTAAAACACCAATGCAGTGGTGCAGCCTTCTAAATATAAGCAGTGACTTACTTTGGGGCAGCAAAACAAACATGACCATAGGTGCATTTGACTTCATGCGATGTTGAGCAGCGCTGACTTCCCGCGATGCATGCTGGACTTAAAATAAGGCATGCTGGTTAGAAATTGTGCCCGACTTTCGTTGGCGCTGCAAAGATTCACCATGTCACGTGACATTGAAAGGCGGCTGCAGGCGCCGAGTCCGGCGGCCGCAGTTGCTTTTCTCCAGCTGCACAAATTTGGAACCACCTTTTGCCTGGTCTTGCAGCATTTGTTGTTTAAAATGCTGTGAGATCAGTCATTGATCTCATCTCACAGTAAGCTCACGCAGGTAGAATGTGTCCGACTTGACGGCGCCGTTTTTATTCCCCGCCACTGCAGTCACCTGCAGCTCACAAAGAAAGTCAGCCGCAGTCATCTCGAACACACCTATCACCAAATACAACTGAGATGGAAAACATCAAGCGGGCACAGAGCAACACTATTCATTTGGATTTGGTTTCCGGCCACCCTGGTCTCAACCAGCTCCTGAGAAAAACATCAGGCTTCTTAGCCACTACACGCTCCACTATGTTCACCAGTCGCTAAATTAGTTTTGGTGCTGGAGAGGTAGATTGCAGTGGGTTTGTCCAAGCGTTTTCACTGGATAAAGGCTGCCCACGGTGGTTGCTGAAAACGAAGTGGTGGGTCAAAAAAAATAGATTTTTAAAAATTGAATAAAGGCTCTTTAGAGCCATGGGGGACTCCATGAGTCTCTGTGGATTCCCTTTCAGTTTACACATAGTCATGAAATCCATTAATATAAAATTATTTTGAGTGCAGATTTAGTTTCTCTGTAACTCAATTGAAAAAATAAATCAATGGTGATGTTTGAAGTCCAGAACAAGAGCTGTTGTCCTGAATTATTTGACTGTTTTACTGTTTATTTTAGACAGACTAAACTCCCTTCCAAGTTTTCTGACATCAACAGACAGACGCACTGTATCAGCCTCACCCTGATTTACCCTGATTTTGATCATTTCATGCTTCCTCCAGACAGACAGTTTATATTGCTCTGTCCCCTGTCCTGCCTTCAGGTGTGTCCGATGAACACGTCTCCCCATGTGGACCCTCAGAAGTCTGGCCACGAGGTGTGGGAGGAGTTTTCCCACAGCTTCACCCCTGCTGTCAGGGAGGTGGTGGAGTTTGCCAAGAAGATCCCAGGCTTCAGAGATCTGTCCCAGCCTGACCAGGTCAGCCTGCTGAAGGCTGGCACCTTTGAGGTACACTATGTTTTTCTAAACCATGTGATCTTTTTCAGCTGTCATGGAAAGCTGAGGTTATGGCAGGTGTCAGAAGACTGACAGGTGTTTGTGATCTACAGGTGTTGGTGGTTCGCTTCGCTTCTCTCTTCGACATGAAGGACCGCACCGTCACTTTTCTGGGTGGGAAGAAATACAGCTTGGACACTCTGAGAGCCATGGGGGCCGGAGACCTCCTCAACTCCATGTTTGACTTCAGTGAGAAGCTCATCAACCTGGGCCTCAGTGAGGAGGAGATGAGCCTCTTCACAGCTGTGGTTCTGGTCTCTGCAGGTGGGTTTGTTTTTAGTTCATTCTTTTTTGCACTCCACACTTGTTACACCAAGTAAAAAACAATGCACGCACCACAGACCAGTATGGGCTTTTGAAGGCAGATAGAAATATATTTAAATTAAAACTTTTCTATTCTGAACTTTGCCCTGCCAAACACTAATTAATGCAACCCTTGGTTGGGGACCACTGACACCACCATGAGAACCAGAACCACCATGGTACACAAAGCTTTTGCTAATTTTTTATTTGATATGTAAGACACTGATGAGAAAATAGAGGTGAACAACAATGGACGGATGAAAACAAGATTATGGGGCTTGTGTTTTCATTTTGAAATGAAAACCATACTTAACCAAAGGCCACTTACCGGCCTGTTTCGACTGTGGAGATATTGAGATTATTTCAACATTTTGCTTATTCACATTCAGGCTAAGAGTGAGAAGAGAAGATCAAATAGATCAGATAGCTTAGCATAGCATAAGGACTCGAAATGGGGAACTTGCTTGCCTGACCTGGCTTTGTCCAAGGTAACAAAAACCACCTAGCACTTCTGAAGATTTTTTTTTTTTTTACCTTTTAACAGAACCATTAGAGCGGTTCCCCATGCTTCCAGTCTTGATGATAAGCTAAGCCAATAGGCTGCTGTCCGTAGATTCAGTGACATGGATCTGAAAGCGTTATTTCCCAAAATGACAAAGTTGTTTTTTGTCCAGATTTTTTCCCCACACATGAATACAAAATGTGTGCCATAGCTCTCGCCTAACCCTGTAACTGCCCCTTCTTCCAGATCGTTCAGGCATAGAGAACGTGAACTCGGTGGAGGCCCTGCAGGAGACGCTGATCCGCGCCCTGCGAAGCCTCATCACCAAGAACCACCCCAACGAGTCGGCCATCTTCACCAAGCTGCTGCTCAAACTGCCCGACCTGCGCTCGCTCAACAACATGCACTCTGAGCAGCTGCTGGCCTTCAAGGTCCATTCCTGAAGTTTCCTCTTGTACTTGACACCCAGGCACAAACTATTTACGGTCTGCGACTGGACCCCGGAGGCCACGCAGACCACCAGCTCCGCCTCACTTCCCAACCCCACGTGCACCTCCACACTTCCTCCCATGAGGCTTTGGGTTCTGTTCCTTCAGTCTGTAAATGTAAACTAAAGCTCAAACCTGACATTTAAAGGAGGAAGACGACCATAAAATGTTCTTGTACTGTAGGGCGTGACTGCCTGTGTGACGGTAATGCATACATACAGACACACTGATTGATGTATATGTTTCTTGTGTTTGTGTGTAGCATACTATATGTTTGCAAATGTAAAAACAAAAAACAACAACAAAAAAAATGTTAGAAGCACTTTTCTGTATAGTGTAGACTGGTATTTTTGCATTCATAGTGCAATATGTGACCGCTTGTTGATTTGAGCTGTATAGTGAGGAGTCATTATACTTGTGTATACTTTTCAATGGCACACATTAATTTGAATAGGTGCTGGGCTCATATTGGGGGGTGGGGGGGTGGGGGGATGTTGTAACCCTTAAAACAAACCAAACTGTGGGCACTGAATGACTGATGAGGTAGAATTCTGTTCAGAAAAACAAAAGAAAGCAGACTACAATGAGAGGCATGTGGACGTAAAGCTGCTGTCAGTCCCAGCTTTCTAGTTTGGTCACGAGAAATTAGAGAATGTTTATGTTGAATGAATTAGGGAAGCAAAAGAAGGCGGTGTCTTATTTCAGGCTTTTCATGCAGTTGTTTTACGTGCTGTGTTGTGGGTCATTTTTCTAAATTATTTGGGCATTGTGACAAATCAGATGTATCTGTGATTTCTACACATGGATCAGTGGAAATGGAGAAACACTGAACCAACGAAATAGAATTGAACGTAAAAAAAAAAAAGAGATTTCCTTCTCTTATATTTTTTTCTCCTTATAGAAAAAAAACAGATTTCTGAGATCCCAGTGTCTGCTGTCCTGCGTGTCCCAGGTTGGGTTGAGTTTCCTACCTGCTAAGCAGTTGAGTCAAGACACTTGGTGCTGCTGTGGGACACTGGACGGCAGAGAAGGCGTTTGCAGTCACCAGCAACTCTCACATGCTTGAATAATGTCTTATTTCAAACTGTACAGACTTTAGCTGAGTGTAGTTAATCTGAATAGGTAGGGCTGTTTCACATTAAATATGATTGTAATATCACTGAAGTGATTGTAATTTAAAGAGTTGAGGTGACAGCTGAGTTGCTGGTGTTCTTTTTGCGATGCCATCGTTGTGCTCCCTTTCGGTGAATTCAGAGTGTCTGGCCTTTCAATATCCAGAGCTTCTGTCATTGTGTTAACATTGCTGATGTGGTTCTGTTCTCCTCTGTGAAAGGATTGCAGTATGCATAGATTTCTATATAAATATATACATACTATCATACATAACTGTATAGATGAATTTATCTATATAAATAAATTTTATAAATGCTGTTCATGCTGTGAAGTGGTCATTTGATTTGTCTGGATGTCATTTAGTTTAGCAGAATTAATTAATCACAGTGTTTAAATTGAATTCAAGCCTGATTTTGGCCTTAAGACTTAAATACTTGTTAGAGAAGTTTGTCTTCAACCCTGACAGATCCACCTTTACAAACTTTGGTTGTGTGGCCAGGGACCGTTTTAGTCAACAGCACGTCATTTATCATGTTTATAATATTGAATGTTTTAAAAGATGTCAAGTATGGCAGGCTAAGTATAAATAATAATAAAGATAAGTATACAATCAGAGTGGTCTTATACACTAAAATCATTTCCTTACTAATTTTTATTTCAAAGCTGTCTGTGTTGAACTTCTGTTCTTAAATCCAGCTTTCTGCCTGTTGAGTTTGGCTCCACAGAGAGGCGAGAGCAGTGAACACAACTTACAACTCCACCGCAATACATTTACAGCTGCCTGAAAGCTTTACTGCTCATTGTGCTCATTTTCTGTTTAGGGATTTGTTGTCATTCATTATTATTATAACACTAAAGATGAATGTCAGCTTAAGTCCTGAAACTGAAGGTGAAATAAATCTTTACCTCTGCCAAGAGGTTTTCATTAGCAGGACAGATTTAAAACTTTTAACAGGGACTAACGAGGCATTGTTTTTTTGTCTTGGTATGGATGCAATAGCACCACCAAATGGCCATTTAGATTTTAACTGTGTCCCAACTCCATACCTGGAGTTCATACCATTTTTATACTAACAGGAAATAAATAAATAAAGTTCACCATCAGGTGTCCATCCAACTATGACTTTAGAAAGCCACTGCTAATTAAACATAAAAAGAAAGCATAATGTCTTTCTTTGTTTTTCTGTCGCGTTAATACTGACTATGCAGTATGGAATTCTAACTTTTGGCTCCTATATGAACTCCTTCACTGTGCAGAAGAAAGACTTTTGTTTCCTGAATTTCTTAATTCAGTGTATAAGCATTAAAAACCATCACCATTTAGAACGGCCAAATATTGAAATTAAAAATGACTAAGCTACAGATCTGTGATGGAAACTTCATGACATTTATAAAGAAGATCATTTGGTTGATCTAAACTTGTGAGAAGTCAGAGCTCAACAGTGTGACTATGGTAATGTCACTATGCATCAGCAGATGGCAACAAGGCAGCTTCGTCTCTCCGTCCACTCACTGCCACTCCCCGCAGCCTGGGACTCCAGCACCATCTGCAGCCTCCTCATGTTCCCTCTGGAAGCGAAGTAATACGTAATTTCAGTTCTTTGCAAGTAATACAGACTCCACATAAAGGCTTCATATTAATATTTTAGATTATAATTATGTTCCTCTATTGAAATACAGGATAAAAATGCCAAAGGAGTGTCCTCTCACATATACAGATCTTATTATTTACATCTCCCATATTATGTAAATTTAGACTTTCCACAAAGTAAAATGATAAACAGTCAAATGTTTAATGAAGACAATATTCAGATGGTTGGCAAATTTGGTTCAAAGTACCTAATAATGTCCTCCCTGAGACACGGAAGAAAAAAGTGTTTTATATTTTGATTTCTTTTACATAAAATTCCAGTAATTGAGATGTAAGAACATATCACAAAGATTTTTTTTCCTTAAAAATATATTTCATTTATGTTTTAACACATGTCCTTTGTAGGGGACATTTGACACAAAAAAAGACATTATAAGCCATCAATTTGGTATTGATAAGAACTCATTTGCTACCCATTTCTATAACAGTTTTCTTATTTAAAACAATATAAAACCAATATAACACATATTTCATCAAGAAAAATTCATATTCAATTTTAAGAAACCCTTTAAAAAAAAAAAAAAATGTATTACATTTTACTACCATTGGTATTTTCATCCTGTATTCAAAAGAGGTTAATTGTTACTTTCACGCTATTCCACTGATTAACCAAGAAACATAGCAATGTACCAACAAAGGAAGGTTAGGTAAACCAACAAACACTTTGACTGAAGCTAATTGAGGCCTTTTGATTGACCTTATTTAAATTAGTAGAGCTTCTATATCAGCCGACCATTGTTCAGTGTTGAGAAGGAGTCTTTTAAAAATACATTTTGAAAGTAAGCATTTGAAAACATCAGGCAGAACATTCTCATCCTGAGCCAAAAAAAGTCAAGCTGATGAACAACTTAAGATGTATGGAAGACAATCAAGGCCCAAATAAATAAATAAATACATGCAAAAAAACAAGGGTAAGATCACTTAATATTAAAATGCAACCAAAAAAGCACAAAACAAATTCTCTCAAAACCATCTTTATTCTGAAGAGCCAGTTCACATTAGCTGCAATCATCATCAATCATTTCCTCTTGAGGTCTTCCATGCTCATGTCAAAGCTGAACAATGGATTACCGGATAATGTCTCCAGTAAAATGCGGACTGCAAGACAGCAAATTTGGAACAACATTTTTCTCATCTTCTGTTTTGCTGCCACAGATTTACTCCTACACTTTACACACTTTATCTCCCTTTCTCTGTGACGGTTTTCCAGTACGTTTTGAACTGATGAGTTGAACAAGAAGACACTCAAACACACAAGGAGAGAAATCTGTGTTAACTGTGGATGACTCTGATGCTGGTTATACTGACCAAGACGTTTTCCTTGAATGTGTAGCTGTGCTGCTTTGTATTGACAGTGAAGCCCAGCTACAGTAATAATTGATGTCAATTGTAGAACTAATGCACTAATTTAAGATTATGATTATGTCTTGCTCATAGTTCTTTTACAGAGATGTGGACATAGATTTGAGAGCAAGATATTGTATTTTTTTTTAACACTATGCAAAAACAATTTCATGTTCATATTATGCTAACATCCGTAAAAAAAAAATCTGCAGTCTGAAAATATACATCCTTTTTCCTTTGTACTGTAAAATAGCTTTTCTATGGTGCAACTCTTTTTATTGGTTTGTAACTGAGTAACCTTAAGAGTAACAACTCGCGGGAGAGATAACAGCGTACTGGCACCTCTTCAGGAACAGTAAACATTTTCTGAACCAGCAGTCAGCATTGACTATGTTTACATGCACCAACAGCTCTGTGCATATGATAATTCAAGTAAGTGGGTGACGTGTAAAAATCCTACCTATTCTTACAGCCATTTACTCCACTTCATACATACCCTACAAAAAAACACATTCATATCATAGACTAAGAAAAGTTAAGATTTGTAATGCCTACTATAATTAGTATTTTAATGTAATTTGCTCAAAAAAAAAATGTTTTCAGTTTGAGCTTCTTCTTCTTTTTTTATTTTCTTTTTTTTTACTCAAAGCTACACTGATTATTAATTTTAAATTAACAATGATGTAATGTGAAGAGGTCACTTCTAGTTGCTAGAGCAAAGCTCTTCAGCTCTATGGAGCATTTAATCATCTTTCAGCTCATTGTTTTGGTGTTATGGCCCACAACTGAACTGTTTCAGTTATGTCTCAATATTCTTATCATCTCCTTTACTGGCCAACTGTACACTACCTGCCCTCCAGCAAACAGCACACAGAAAAAGTTAGCTGCTAGCTTGTGAACACAATGAAGCATTTACAGTAGCAGCTAAAGAGCCAAATATTTTTCTCAGAAGTTGTTGAAAAAACAACACTGAGACTGAGTGAATATTAGATTTACATTCATTATGTCAGCAGAAACAACTCCAGATTAATACTAGCTCCACATCTGCAGGTGTGTACATAGGCAATAATTTGCTAACATGTTAGCCATATTACCTTTATAAGGCCATAATTTGTGTGTAATTGTGTGTTCTGCAATCAAATATCCAACTAAAGCGGATTATTGCAGCTTTGACATTTCTGTAAATCATTTTGGTTAATTACTTTTACAGAAAAAAAACTACCTTGTTTGAGCTAACAATCCATTCTTTTTAAATATCAAATGACGTGCCAGTTCCTAATGAGATTAAGCGGAAATGTCATGACTAAGGGATACTGCTGTAATGTCTAGATTATCACCCTGTTTGGATTTAAAGATTTTTGTAGTTAAGTTAATCTTTTTTTGGTTTTGTTTTGCACACGATGTTGTTAGTGACTTAGTGTGCATTAAGGGAAATAACCATGCTGCAAACTGTCCAGTTACTCGGGCACAGAAAACTTTTAGAACGCAATCCCAAAACATATCTTTAAAAAATTTTGAAGTAGAACCTGTGACCTACCTGAAAGACCATTAGCCTTGTCAGTTCATACTTTCTCATAGACTAGGAGAAACCCGGGGCTGGCTGCACAGGTAGACTTATATGATATGACAGTCACATTTAGACTGTCAAAATTCTTCAGTTTCATGAAACCATCTCATGATATTTAAACATAGGTTCAGATTTTGTTGAAGTCTATCTTAATTTTATACTCACTGCCCATTAGCAGGGAAGGGTTAGCTCCTGGCTGCAACTTCGTTGAAGGAAACGGTTGAAAATATTTCACAAACTTTGATCTGCAACAGCTAAAACAAAGCTAAAGAAAAGAAGGCGCACTGGAAAGATGTCATAAATTGTTCTAAATATACCTGATGGTGGGTTGGGGGTTAAAAGATGGAGGATAATGCAGAGTTAATGGTTAGTAACTAGCTGGTGACGAAAACCTAATTTCTAGCAGATAAAGTGTCAAATATTTCCCTCAGGAGTTGGTGGACACCAAACTAGAGCTAAAAGGAAAGTGGAAATTGGACTTCTATATTTTTTATTATATATATATATTTATCAGTTGGACACAAACACAACTTCAATTGAATGCTAATGCTGCTCTGTTTCTGCTTGATGTACAAATAGCAAACTGTTTGCTAACACGTTAGCCTTAACAACATTATATAGTGAACATTATATAGTGAAATGACAAGGGTGTGTGTCCGTCAGCTTGTTGTAGAGTTTTGCCCCATAGTGGCAAAAATAAATAAATACAAAATCAAATAATGCAGCTATGAAATTACTTAATTTTTATTTTGTACAGATGGCTTAACTATCATTGTGGCCATTTCTCTGTGAAGGGACCAAGAAAATATTTACAGAAACTCAGAAACTTTACTTGCATGTCGATTTAAGGAATGTGTTCCAGTTTTGGTTCCTGGGCCATAGATTGCGCCCTCCAAAAGTCCCTGCTCCTGAGGTAGTATGTACGAATGGTCCAGCAGCTATCAGGGTGGAGCTAAAGTACCGATGTCACTGACTGCTCAAGCACAGGCTTTAAAACTGCTACAGCGTGTGTAAAGCTTTCATTTAGACTGCAAGCAAGCAAGCATTAGCAGTTATTGCTAGTATATTGGGGCTTAGAATGAGATTTTCTTTCGATGCTGTTGATATTTAAACCAAGTTATGCAGCCGAATTCCTGAGACTAGTCTGCAAGTTTTAAAAAAGAGGTAAGAGAGAGCAATTTGATGTTTGAATGCGGTTCCGCACTAAAGTAGAACATCAGTCATGCAACAGTAAATTACAAAAGACGACCCAGATGAAAGTGTTGTAATCTCACTGCATGTTTTAATGTTTTTTAGGTGTAATTTGCTAAAGTCATTTGCTGTTCTGATCTTTACCATTCTTCAGATGCAATGAAAATGCAAACACAAATGCACCAAAGGGACTTTTAGGTCCACATATAGTTCCTGAGTTTAGTTGCTGGGACTGTTTGGTTGAAAAGGGCCAGAGCAGAATTAAGACTGGCCTAACTCTAAATAGATCGTAGATCTGTCTAACATATGCATGTTTGTGCAACCAGCCCCTGGTTGGGTCATTTCACTTTCTTTTTCCAACTTTTGTTCATCTTGTCACACATTATTTTAGGTCAATATATTTATCATGCACAAACAAAAGTGAGCATAACTAATGGGACATCCTTTTTATTTTTTTCGACCATGACTACTCCGTTAACTGGTTCATTAATGGCACCAGGCAGGCCCAGTGACAGGGTATCAAAGGCTCCTGCAAACGACTTAACATTAAGATAACCTCAACAGGACCGTGGACAACAGGGGTGCATGTAAACGTGGCCAATGTTACTTTTCCAAATGGCTCTGGCTCAGCACGGCCCAGCCCTACATGTCAACCGGGCCGCCTTAGCCGGGGTGCCTATCCCCCCTTCTCTCTCCCTCTGATTGTCTGTGCATTTATTTTGAGTCTGTACAGTTTGCGAGGTGTGTGTGTGAGGTCCGGGTCATTCAAACACTGCAGCAAGTCTATTGCTTTGATAAAAGGCATCACTTCACAGAAAAACAAAACAAAACACAAGCTGCTTTGAGGAGTAGTGTGAAGCTTGAAAAAGCGAGATATACAAAGCAAAATGTTTGTCACATTGCAAACGACAATACAATAGAGAGGCTTTAAGAACAACAACAAAAAAAGAACATACCGGCTAAAATAAAAGAAAGGAAAGAGCGCTACGTTTTCACAATATCACCAGCTTTCTCAGTGTACCATGCTGATGATGAATCATACTGTGTTTAGGCCAGCCAGTGTTCACTTGGCCTCCAAATCCCACCAGTTGGTCACAGTGGTGGGGTCTGACCCATATCTTATCGAGGCACATATATATATGCATATATGTGCATGTGTACAGTATGTGTACAGGTATACTGTATGTACTGTATATGTGCATGTTTGTGTGTTAGTGTATATGCATGCCATCATAAGGGTGGTGGGCTGTTACACAAACAGATAATGTCTGCAATAACAATACAGTTCAATCAGCCATTTCCCCAACCCACCTTAGCACCATGACGTCACTGTTTTAACATACAGTCTCCCTTTTTAGGGAGTTATAAAAAAACAAAACAAATAAACAAATGGTTGAAATCACTGTATGTGGGACTAGTGAGGCAACATAGGCCGAGATGAAACACTTAAAACTCATAATGGTTGTATTGTAGATGTAGAAGCTGCTATAACGTGGACTAAAACACGAGTCAGCTGCATGCACTAACTAACATTAACCAGTCAAGTCTTGGTAGCGCTATGAAAGTCCAGCAGGGACTTAATGAGGAGGGCATCATTCACTTGGTTTTGGCACAGCATGTGGCATCGTTACACAAAAACGAGTACTGTATGATTGTCTTTTCCTGACATCAGTGTCATTATGTGCTTTAGTTAGTCCTGACCAGTCTCTGGCAATGATGAGCAATCTTGTTTTAATGCTACTGCAGCGTTCCCTTCAGTGTCAGAAGTGTGAATAACCAGCGGGTAGGTTAGAATTATAACCACTGTGTTTCCACAGGCAAAGACATGGACACAGATACAGTTTTTTTTTTTTTTTTTTTAAACACAGAGTATTAGGGCCATGGAAGAACAGAGATTTGTCCCCTGCAATACGTCTGCTATTCCAAATGCTTGCTTAAGATAAATAATGCACTGTTTATACGCCTGAACTTGGAAAGGCAGATGAATGGCAACTAACAATTAATTCGTTAATTGATTATTCTCTTGATCATTGAATCGTTTATTTTAAAAATTGTAACAATATACTGAAAAATGGCCAACACAATTTCCCAAGTGTTAAGATGAACAATTAATTCATTCTCAAAACAGTGACAGATTATTATTCTGTCGATCAACTTATCGATCTATCGTTGCAGCTCCGCATTTGTTATGAAATAAGCCCTAAACAATCTGTTTCATTAGAGGTTGGGTAGGAGCTCTGTAAACCAAAAAACGTTCGGTGAAAGGTAATACAAATTTGTCACATACGTTCGCCATAGACAGTCAATATCTCTTTGATCAGCAAATAATGAACAGATTTTTGAATGGAGTTTGGTTTGATGTTCTCTTCAGACAAGAACAAACACTATGTGGAAGGGAAAAGCAATGTGATTTAGTTCAATTAATGTGCAGATTTTGCTTGCATATTTCTGACTTGCGTGTCATATAAACATTCTCTACAGATGCTTTTGTCCAAAGCGACTCACAACTCATACATTTCCAAGATAAATCTTAGAAACATCCCCTTTCATTATATGAATAAAATGTGTCCTTCTTCAGTAATGGCCCTAATATGCTGTTGTAGGTAAACAGCCAATGTTGTCCATGTTATTTAGCAATGTTTGCTAGGTAGTTAGTGGAGCACTTTAGCAACTGTCAGTGAACCTCTTAATTTAATGACTCTATGTGTAGCTACCACAAAGGTAAGTATTGGGCAGAACTATGCTTGTATACAACACTGAAAAATGTACTTGTCCGTGTGTTTTGAGGAATAGAAAAACAGTTTAACAATATTGTTGTTTAGTGTTAACAGTGTGTGCTGCCGTGTAGATGTGACATCAAATAACGGTGTCTCAGAAAAGTTAATTGCTGGAAAATCTTGCCCAGGTTTCTCGCTCGGACTTTTGCCGTGAGTTGCTGTTCAGCTGCAAAATTCTGATTTTTCTGATCTCTGGAACGCAGCATTCCGACTTAACGTTGTGACGTGTGGCTACCCAAAGCCTTATGAAGGCCTGTGAGCTGCTGTCCATTAGAATGAGTGCTGCTGTTAATGGGTCACAGTTTGATGAAGTTCAGACACTCACCACATGGATGACCTGACTACATGACAGTTAATGTCCTGTACGTATTAACTGACAAATGGGTCCGATAAAATCGAGCAGGTGGGGGAACGGCTAACGGGTGACTAACAATGTCTTGTGTTATGTATCAGGTGAGCAGCCATTTTGAATTTTTTAACATAAAGGAAGGAAAATACAACATTTGCACGGTCACAAGTGTTGATAAAATCACTATTATGCCACCTGTACAATCATCAACACAAAAATAACCTATAGTAAAATCCGAGGTGAGAGGTTATATCCACAACAATAACAACAAAACAACCCCCCCCCAAAAAAACCAAAACAACAAAATGCTATTCACATGTACCCGCACTGTAAGGAATGGTTCCATCCAAAACTATACCAGAGAGCTACTCCTAAACTATGGAATGAAGTGACACTCAGTAGTGCTAATACAAAGTTCATTGTGACGGGCCTTCTGCTGGTTCCACCTCTGAGACCTCCAGGGTGCCCAGGCGCTGACGTATGCGCTCATACACACACACACACACACACACACACACACACACACACACACACACACACACATACATACAATAAAATCCATTGGTCAGTCCTCGAAGACCTCCAGGAAGAGAGGAGGGAATAGCTCGGTGGGACACTCCACTTTCATGTGAAGGAATCGGCTGGCGTGGCAGGCGCCGATCATGCGCAGGTCCGTCACCTTCATTAGCAGCTTGGGCCAGAAATGTGCCACTTTGTGTTTGCGGTAGTTGATGTAATGTTCAAAGGCCAGCAGGAACTCCTCTTGGCAGCGTTCAATTTTCTCCACACTACTCAGGCCCGGCCGATCTGATAAACAAGAAGACAAGAGACAATTAGTTTAGTGTGAGGAAACAGTGGTGAGAGAACCCTGATATGTCATTCCTATTTATTTTTTAATGAAAATAATTTTTACTGAATTACAGGAAAACTATGCTTTATTACAACCTGGGTTTTCTTTTCATAGCACAGTTACGATAACCAAATACTCTATATGCTATTATCCCGACATTCAGTGGAATGTTTCATTTCAGAAGCTTTTCTGGTATAAATGGCAAATACTTACAAGTTAATATTGTAACGTTTCCAGTAAAAAGGGTCAACTTTCAAGATAATAATTATAGCACAAAGTATCTACTTTGCAGAAATATTGGTAACACCACAACAGATAATGGTATTGATTAAACCCTAGTGGCTACTGTGTGTCAGACAACAAGACAGATGGGCAGGTTATCCCCATGGCATGTCTACATGTAGAACACACAGCAGAACAGTATTGATCTTCAATGAGATGCAGAGCGTCACACAAAGAAATGGTGGCGGAGCCAAAACCAAGCTAGCACGACAAAGCTCCTCTGAATGATTAATCGATTAAACTCTAGTTTGATATGGATTTCATGTCAGAAAAATACTGTTCACACAATCTGTGCAAGAGAGAACAAAGCATTATTAAAGAAATAACATGGCTTTTGAGACAGCAGGACAAGTGCCCTTTGTGATTTATGGAGGGAGCCTGATTTGTGTGGACACTCCCATAATGAACTATTGCTTTACTGGTCTATAAAATTAACGCTTTTGACTGTTTCCCTAAAAATATATATTCTTGTCCACAAGTGACAAGTTCTTGTCAATTACCAGATGAAAGCAGGATGACTGCCTGTAGGAGAGCCACCTCAGAGTCATCCAAGTTAAAGGAGGACAGCGACACACCAAGGTCAAAGATGGCGTCTGAGACTACGCCCAAGCCTCCATTCTTAAGCTGACCCCGCGTGACCGCCATCTCGCCGTTGAGCGTGAGGGTCTCACTCTCTGGATCATAGCGCACAGCAGCTCGCAGTGACATGATCTCCATGCAACAGCCTTTCAACAGGATGATCTGGTCTTCACAAGGCAGCTGATTAGAATGAGAAGCCAGACGGAGCATTATGAACTCTATTCTCTATCTCCATTTTATGAAACTTTGTTAAATAAGCAGCACTTACCTCACAAAACATAGGCAATTTTTTGGCAAAGTCCACCACTCGGGTTATGGCAGGGGTGATAATTTTTGTAAACTGTGTGAAGGCTTCTATATCCACTTTGTTCCCTTCAGGTGTATTGACCATGGACGCTTGACCAATATCCTCAGGCTGAAACGACAAAGACAGATGGCTCAGTGTCTGAACAGTCTCCACCTTAAAATACAAAATTAAAACAGCATGTCAAAAGGTTTATCAATTGTTCATCTTGTCCATTGTCACAACGCAAGTTTCTACAAAATATATCTGATATACCTAATATGGTAGCTGAAATGGAGTTGTAAGATTTTATTAAGTTCTAGCTTTGTATGAAAGAGGAAGCCCATTACACAACGGCCGTACTGCTAATATGGTAGTGAATTGTTGAAGCTGAGTTGAGTTATCGTCATCACGCATGTTTGAAATATGAATGTGGTGAAACGGAGTTGTGAACGGGCACTGCACTAGGGCATGTAAATCACTGCTAATCAATATATTCATAGTAAGACTGTACCGTCAAAACTGATATTGGTGATAAAACTAAACACCGTCTCAGACACAAATTGAAAGGCAGTACACCAGTTTAAATACATATTTGTGTCTTACCTTAGTTTCCTTCACCCCTGCTGCACTCTGGTCAGAAGTATAGAATAAATTACATGTTATTTCATTAAGAAGCATAGCTTCCTCGACCTGTTGGATAATCAACAGGAATCGTGAAGTTTCAATGAAGAACCCGTGTCAAGCCAACTAAAAAGAAAACAAGTTAAAACTGAGGACAGACGAAAGAGTGCAGATAGAAAACAGGTGAGGACAGAAATCCAAGATGGTTTTCTATGGTGAGATTCAGGCTCAGGACCACGACTTCAAACAGGTCCTCAGAAACACTTACTACTTAGACGACGCTGAAATTTTGATAGTGATGAAGGGGCGACTTCAAATGTTTTTCTTTACAGTGCAGTTGGGCTTAAAACCGTGATGAAAGCGCAAAAGTAGTGAAATAGATTCCGCTGTATTCGTGTTAAGTGACGCATGTCAATTTACTTTCCTGGAAAATGTAATTTCACTTCTCCAGACGTCTCAGAATTTCACAATATTCCGCAAATTCCACAACAAATGAGAACCGTGGATAGAAACCCCCCCCTCTCCTTAACACAAATCTGCTACTCTTCCACGCCGAGTATAAAGACGTTTTATGCCTTGAAGAGTGTTCTTTCTGATCGTGCCATAGAAACCCAGGATAAAGTCAACAGTTGAGACAGACTATCAATCTGGACAGAGCAATTAGAATTTACAGAAAAGAAAAAGAAAATTAGTCAAAAACAGGGTGAGGTGTGAAATCAAAAGCTACAAACAGAAAAAGAGAAAAATGAAACAGCACGAAAAAAGCAAGTTATTAGTATTAGCGATTAAAGATCATTGCTTGGTAAGACACAAAACAGACAAGAATAAGAATGTGCCATTATAAATTAGTGCTGCTGCGTTGAGGAACACACTTTTCTCCATCGTCCAGCTAATTCTCCCCACTCTACAAGGAGATACAAAAAAACACATGGACATATTAACACAGGGAACAGTGGAACAGTGGTTGTGGCGGAAGAGACACGGGTGTGATATGGAAGGGGTCTGTGAGGGGCGGAGGGAGGGGAGGGGGGATGTGGGGTGGGGTGGATTGGATAAAGCAGGGTAATCAATACCATAAAGGCTGTGGTGAGGAGGGAGGGAGGGAGGGAGGAGGGTGTCTCACCAGGAATTTCCGCTTCTGCTTCCAGTGGTTGCCCTGCGCGTTCGTGGCCATGTGGGCCTCAGTCACCATACGGATGAGGTCCCACTCCTCCTGGGTGGGCTCCAGTCGGTCCCACACAGTTTTCTGCAGTTCCTCCTTCCGACGGCGCTCCCGGTTCTCCTCGATTAGTTTCCGCTTGGCCAGCCTTTTGCTGTTGTCCAATACCACTGGGGGGGTGCAAAAGAAGAAAAAGGGAGAGACAATGAGTGGACAGGAATGAGGAGGAGGGGAAATATAGTTAACAATACAGGGCAATGCTGCCTAAATAAAAAATATATATAAATTACATAACATTACAAACACAAGAAAATGACATTCAAGTTAGGTGACACTTTACTTGAAGTGCTTCTCTTGAAGCAAATATAATATTGTAAATACATTGTAAGTGCACGAGAATTACTGTATACTCAGTGAACGATACAATGGACAGAATATTCACAAGTAGCTCTTTATCCGATGTTTAAATAATTGTATTCCTGACCAGTGACTTTGATTTTTGTGTGTTGCCTCACAACCCTCCTGATCTTACGCTTCAATTGATACTCCACCCACTCACTGCAGGCTTGAAAGCTAGCTGTAATTAGCTAATTAATAAATGTCGTTCTTTATGACAAAAGAGCAGCTGTAGTGAGAGAAATAAAGTCGAAAACTGTCCATAGAAACTTAAAACACTCTGCACTGGTGCACAATTCACATTTCCACTATTTTGCATTAGGACTGCAACCGCTGATTATATTCATGATAGCAGTGGATAAGACACATGCCTTTGGTGTGAGAGACCTGGGTTCAATCCCCCACTGTGACACATGCACCATTGTGTCCCTGAGCAGGACATGCTCCAGAGGCGTGCGCCCTCTGACATATATAGCAATTGCTACCAATTATTTTCTCAAATAGGTAATGGCGACAAATGCCCATTGTCTGTTTCCCAGTTGCTTGTTTCATCTGGCTAACTGGTCCAAAACCCAAAGATATTCAGTTTACTGTCATACAAAGAAAAGCATCACATCCTTGAATTTGACAAGCTGGACCCAGGTTGAATGAAATAATTCATTGATAATTGTTTCAGCTTTTATTACTCTGTGCACGGTATAATATTTTTCCCAAATGTTGGCTAAATATGTGGTGGAAATGTCAAAAGACACATCTGCGGCCAGGGCAGGTTGACCCATTAAACACATCAACAGAAACAAACAAGCAAGACAAGCGGCAGACACAACATGAGGCCTTTGATACTCACAGTCGGTCGCCATTCCCACTGCAATGCACTTCTTGAAGCGACATTCCTGGCACTGGTTTCTGGTCACTTTGTCGATGACGCATTTCGCCTCATACTTACAGGCGTAGGTAGGGTTGAGATTCTTCTGGATCGTCCGCCTGAAGAAACCCTAGAGAGCAGACAGGCACGTGTTCAGAAATGCCTTGAAAAAATGCCTTGAATTGGCTGCAAAGAACAAACAAACAAACAAACAAGACTCGCTGGTTTTACCTTGCAACCTTCACAGGTAATGCAGCGATAGTGATAGCCTGTGGCTTTGTCCCCGCATACTACACATAGCTCATCCTTGTCCAGGTAACTTGGAATGTACCCTGAAGATAAAACCAAATAGTTAAAGTTAGATTTTGTTGGATTTGTAGTCAGAACTATTTTTCATGACTGCTGGGGATTCATTCACCTGGGACACATGTTTACAACTGGATTTTAGTTCTTGTTAAGTTAAGAGGTCATTTAAACAATAATATCCCATTTTGATAGTTTTCATTTTTATATAATGTACTATTTTTTTTGCTTCTTTTCCTTTTTAGGTAGGGAAAAAGTGAAACTGAATTGGCACAATCGAGTGGGGATCAATGAGAAGGCTAACAAGTTGATTATTTACTGTATGTACAGTAAATCAACGTTCCTTGTGGCAATTTGTGTCGATTCGTAACATCTAGATGCGGACTGCCGACTAAATGCTGTTGCTTTGATAAGTCACATAGGGAGATTTAAAATTAGGCTGACTCTTGTATGGCCGACCGTCCGACACCTAATATTCAATTAGCACCGGCTTCCACGTATAGCGCTATGGCTTCTAGGTAACTAGTTAACACCTGGCCCAATTTTGGGATTGAGCTTAATGAGTTCAGGAGGTAGAGCGGGTTGCCTGTAAATCGGAAGGTCGGCGGTCCAATCCCCCGGCTCCTCCAGGCTGCGTGTCGCAGTGTCCTTGGGCAAGATACTGAACCCTGAATAACCCCTGGTGGCTGTTCCGCCAGTGTATGAATGTGTGTGAATGTTAGTTTGTGTTGCACAGTGTGTGAATGGTGAATGCGATGTAGTGTAAAAGCGCTTTGAGTGGTTGCCGCTCGTAAAGACTAGAAAGGCGCTATACAAATACAGAGCATTTACATTCAGTGCTTTGACCTCAGGCAGACTCCAGGACCGGAGGTTAAACTGACTGATCTATACCTTTTTAGTGTTATTAGGGTTGTTTGTTAAGAAAGCAATCAGCCTTCTGTTGCCTCACCATCAATCAATAAGGAACCCCCGCCCGCCTTAGTCAGACACACAGCATCAGATGCACCAAGTCCTGCTCACAGACCTGCCACCACATGACGCCTTAAGTCTTGGATTTACGCTTATCAGACTTAATTCGAAAATCCCAGACATCATTGATTCATTGATCAAGGAGGAGTCATCGCTAATTACAAAAAATAACAATGAAAACCGTTAGAAATACACACACTCCAGAGAGACAACCACAAAACAACAGAAATAATTTCATCAGTCAATTCGAAATGAAGCTAGCACGAGTACATGCAGCAATTCTGCCCACCCAAAAATACAATCCCAATCCGGGCGTCATACCTTTCTTGTGCGCCCCCTGCATCCACTGCAGGTGTGAGAAGTCAGGTTTGATCTCAGGGAAATATTCAGGCTGATGGTGGAAATGACTAAGAGGGATCTCCATGCTGCAAAACTCGCTCGTAAAAACCGGAGGGCCACCAGCGTATAAGCAAGAGTTGAGCTGGCTGGGAGGCCAAGCCTGCTCCATGCAGGGCAGATGGTGCAGCGGCTGGGTTTCACAGTGTCCATACCCGAGTCCCTCACCTGGGTACTTGCAGTCCTCCCCATCGCCCTGCACCATGTAGCCTCCCACCCCAGCGTGAGGCATCTCATACATGTGTGGTATGCAGTAGTTCATCATGGAGAGCCGCAGCAGAGCACCACAAAAAGTTCTGGGTCAACTCCAAGAACTATTCGTTCTCAAATAAAGTAAAGCAGGTTCTAAAGAATAAAATAAAATCAGGTCTAAGAAAGAGTATAAAGCCACGTGAATGTGGCAATTAGAAGTTTCCTGTCCTGAAATAAACTTCATAGAGGTTGACCCTACGCAGACGCCCAAGCGTTTTATCCACCCAATCCACAGACCACAGACTACACCTTAGCAACTGCCCCCCCTGCCACCACCCGGTCGAATTGAGAAGCAGAGATTTATGACGACGTAGAGCTCTAATCTTACACTCCACAAATCCTTGACGTGCCGCAGACAGTGGCGATGTCACAGATTAAGACCTTACGTGTTGCACCTACAGTAAATACATCTAATTTCCATCGAGTGGAAAATCTAAAGAAAGCGATAAAAAGGTTCAAAGAAAACGTTTTAACGTTTTAAAAGCCTTTTAAAAGCCTTTTAAAAGCCATATAAGAATTAATAGTCGTCTTAAGCTTGACACCCTTTCTAACCCCAGTAACCTTTAACTTGTGTATTAACCCCCTTACTTATCCTGTGGTCTATTTTAAATAGAAACCGCAAATAAGCTTGCTAAAGTCAGAGCCATTTAATTGTTCACACCAACTACTAGGTGATTGCTATGACACTAAGGTTTAGACTTTGAGAAGGGTCTGTGTTTCACATAACCCTCACCTTTCACTATTAAGACTGTAACCTGTATTCTGTGTATTTATAGTATGACACATAACAGTATTTTAATGTGGGACTTACTGAGAATAAACTAATTAACCATTTTTTAAAGAACAATAACCAAAATAAGACTTGACTTAAACTTCATTTAGATTAACCTACTGGGCAAATCTAATTTAGAGAATAAAGTATATTTTGAATTATGTGCATTGTTTGTGAGATTCATATATACAGGTTGCAGGTATACATCTAAATGTACGTGCCAAATAAATAATTACATTCATTTGTATTTTCAATAAAATAAGATAAATAAAACAATACTAACTAAGAAAGGTCTACGTCTTTTTTAAAATTAAAATATACTTAAGTAATGGGCTGGAAACCTGTCTGCCTAAAAAAAGAACAGCTGTAAATCGCAAAATCAATATTGTTTCCCCACAATGTCAGACACGCGAGCGACACACTGAGCGATGCACTGCGTGAACTTCAGTTAATACACCTATAATCTAAGAGACTGACTGTACTCAGCCATATTGATCAGGTTTCATGTTCAATGAAGATGGGATAAGCCTTGCAGCAAGGATGTGTATCTGTTACTTGACCCCATTATAAAACAACATATTGTGGTGCTTAGAAATGTTATGAGGGCTGACTGTAAACATTCTATAGAATAATGCATCCAGTCTGTTGAATGTGATGTTATTAATGTGTGTGGTTACTTTCACTTTTCATTTGTATAAATACTTTCTCTTGAGTTCCAAAATCTAATGAGCACAGTAATTACAAGTTTTATAAGATGCCATGTAAATTAGAGTATATTATAATTTAGTTGGATATGTTCAGTAGCATTGAGAAAACTCCAAACTGATTACAGATGACCAACAACTAAAACTATTACAAACTATAACTATGTATTTCCAGCAGAAGTTTCATGTGATGCCCAGTTAAGAATGATATTATCAAGTTTTAATGGAGTTTAATGAGTTAATACTAATAATACCAAGTGTCTGTGGTCAATTGTGAATCTAAATAACCGTTGCTCATTTTTTCATTCTTAAGCTTCTTTTAGAGACATTTTGGGTAAGATCTGATCACACAGATGCCGTTTTTCTTAAGATTAAGATTTGTCTTAAGATTACCAAATACCAGAAAACAGAACATCTTGTTGGTTAATGGGTCACAGAAGTGGGCCCGAAACATGGAGACATGTGAATGCGTGAACACATGGCGAAGTCTGAGTAAAGATGCCGTTTTGGCTCTAAACTCCCTGCTGCTTGAACTTATCTGAACTCTCTGAATCACAGCCAGCCTGCTCGCTCTGCCATCACATCTTTCAAAAAAGACACGATCAATACTGTTGGAGTACAGGATTATGAAGAAATAGGGATAATCAGTGCTCCTACGGATTTGACCACAAAAGGTGAAATATTTTTAAAAGACCTTCATTGTTAGTCACAGATTTGTTTTCTGTTTAATATGATTTATAAATTCAGTGGTGGTATTACCCAACTCAGCTATGCTCTATCACTCTGTCTGCAGTGTTCAAACTGACGGTGTCCGAGATCTCACATAAGACTGAAGGGTAAGTTAGGGTTTAGCCTGAGGAAGGCCACAGCTTTTCATTCATAAAATGCATTTTTTTCTCTTTCCCCCACTGCACTGTATTTCCTAAAAAGTTAAAGTTAAAGTTTAAAACATGCCAAAGCAAGCCCAGAGTTTTGTACCACAGTCTTCAGCAGGCAACTGAATATGATTTTGAAGTTCTTTCCAATGCACTGTACTGTGTAGTTTATGTCTCCGCTTAACAGCAGTCTCTTAATCATTTGCCATCAGTTCTTTTAAAAACTCTAGTTACTGGGATTACAAGGAGTAATAAAAATGTATTTCCGCTTGTTATAAATTAAGAACAAAATGATCCTGTAATTTTACTGTACTGTATTTTCACATGCCCTTAATAATGTACAATCAGCATCTAATAAGTTGGACTGCATATGATTAAAAACACATGACTTGTACGGTCTCCCTACAGTTCTGAAAAATACAAACAGTGGTAAACCCTGAACATTTCAGTAAAGATTAAATAAATAAAACTTTAAAATAAAAAATAAAAATCTGTATTTTTGTGTACTTTGTATCTTGAACTGCCTATTTAGTTAATGAGCATTGGTGCTGATACTCTTGTAATGCCGGTGGAAAACCTGAGCCTGACAAAGCGATTATGTTTCCAGATATAATATGACACTTAAAGCGACTAAACATGTCATCCGACTCACGCTGAAGTGCCAAGTCTGAGTGTGAAGCATTGGCTTTTAAATCTCATTAGTTGTGCACCACAAGATGATCTGCATGACAACAGTGCATTTGCGCTCTGTGGATGCATGCATGTCCTGCACAAATAGGCTGAGACGGGACTGACACCTCTGTTAAAACTTAGAGTAATCAAATCACAAGTCACAATGTAAAAGAAAAATTAAAAACACAATCACCTATTGAGGGGCCTACTATTTAAACCCACAGGTTTTTTTTATTAACTACTGCTCAAAAAGAGAAATCACTTGCTCCTATGTTGCTGACAGCTTGCTCATTCAGGTCATATAAACAATGTGATGGAATTTGATTGACTTGATAGTGCTACATCTTTGTTTGTTGAGTGAAATTGTTTTTCATGAGATTAAATCCAACCACAAACAAACTGCACCACATTTCACCGGCTCTTTCGTCAGTATGTTGTGACCTTACAAAGGCAATATTGCCAGATTGACTGCCATTTTACTTGAGAGTTGTTCACGTGCTGTCGGTAATTATCAGTTTACAGGATAATGCTAACAGTTTGCACACTTAGCAGCTCATATGTAAGTCATTTACATACTCGGTCAGTTTCACTCAAAAATACTGCTACAGAACTTGTTTGAATTGAATTGTAATTGAATTATCTTTTTAACATGATCCCACACAACAAAATTACCCAATCCCTGTTGAGAACACAATCTGGGTTCTAATGTGCAGGAGCGCACTATAGTGAATCTCGGGATTACTTTAGCAAACTGTTTCATTACTAAAGCAAATGAGAATTGACAAAAACAACACAGTGAATGTGTTTAATCACAATTTAAGGAAGTCATTATGTGTAAAAAATAATGTTCAATTTACAAACAGCTTTAGTTCAATAACATTAGTACTGTTGTGTCGGGTGAAAATGATTTATTCATTTTTATATTTTAATTTTCACAAAATGGGCCAAGAGAAATTCCAATTTCAAATACAATTTGTACTTTAAAATTTTAATATGGAGTGCATATTACCAACTGATTCATTTTGGAATTGTGCCTACAGTATGAATAACTGAATTGTAATAAAAAAAAAAAATCAAGAATGACTAGTCATATTATAATTTAAGATATCTAACATTTCATTTAATTATAAAAGCTTTTTGGTTTTTGGTTCTTATCTTGAGAACTTCTTAACTGTCAATCACACCAAACACAAATTCTGTCCTTAATAGTTGTAATTTCAAGTCATACTAATTCATTTGGTACGGTTGTAAATGTATTTTGATTGTCAAAATGTTTAATGTATTTTATGAAAAGTTATCTATCCTTGAATGGACTTATGGGTAGTTACAATGAAGTTACATTTACAATTAACACTATATTTACAGATTAATTATATACTGCAGATATAAAAAGCGGATATTTCCACTTGTAATAATTAAATTATTTGTAAAGAAAACAGTGGATATAATTATATTTAATCTATGTACATATCTAGATATGTTGAATTACAATTCTCACTACAGCAGATTTCAGATTTCATGAAGGGAAGTGCATGTTAAATACTATACTCATATGGGTTAAAAGTTTGTTAATTAATATATAATAGGAAGTTCAATAGAAATCAGTGGGATTACATTGTTAGATTTTAAGCGGTCTGCTCTTTGACAACACAGTAAAAAAAAATATAAAAAGAAATTGAGCAACATTTGTAACTTGTTATATGATATATGATAACTAATTAGTGACCTTTACATTGCACTAGCATTGCGTACTAGTGGTGGTTTTGTTTGTCTTCAAGGCAATCCTTCATTCATCTCTGTTGAGCTCACATTTGCCTTCCTGTGATCGCCAAGAGTCTTACAATGTTCCATTAGAGACCTGAAGTCTGTTATTGTTGTTTATTGGACCCACTCTTTGGCGACCCCTTAATCGTGATTTGTACTTTGTTAAAAACAGGTCAACCAGCCTCTATACGTTAAACACAGGTAGACGCGGAACATTAAAGTCATTAAGACTCAAAATACAAAGTTTTTATCCGTCATATGCCCATAAAATATGTGCAGTGTCATGCATGGTGGCATGTTCTTGAGGCTGTGCTGTGTGACTAATTAGAATAAGAGTAAAAATCAGGTTTAGAAAGAGATACCAAATTCTAACATTAAAAAAAACATGTAATATAAGTAAGTATGTGCGATATTTTATCAAGTGATACACTAAATTGTTTCACATGTTAAAACTTTTTTTATTATAAAAGTGCTGCAATAATGACTGTATTATAGTTGTTACAATTTAACATTTTTGCTACATTTTGGAGTATGCACACATGGAGATCTGGAATTACGCTGTGGACAACTAGGCCATAATAAATGATCAATGTTTAATTTATATAATCTGGCTGAATGAAGAGGTATAAAGGCTTAACATGGGATTACTGACCCCATTAATGTAATAAGTGTGAGTTTGTGACAAGTAGATGCAGCAGCTGGTAAGAGACAGGCTCTATGAGGCAAATCTGCTTGCAAAGAGGGCTTGATACCAGTTTAACTTTTTGATGAGGTGATGTCCTTGCCATGGACTAATCTTGTTTGGAGTTTCTTAAACGACTCTCGACGAACTGTTAAGCATTCTTCAGACAGAGTTTAACGCCTGCCTACTGACTCAATCTGTTGTCTGAGCGGAGAGAATTAATGCTAACAGAAAGAAGATACTGTTTTAAATAAATTCAGGTAAAACAAAGTATTTATGAATTAAAAATTCTAATTATATATACATTTTTGATTCAGGTATTGAGCAAGGTATTTATTATTATTAGTGTTCATTTAATGATTCATTTGTGTGTTTTAATATTTTCCTTTGACATAATGTAAAGCTTGTTTACAGCTTATATTACATTCATCTGCATGTTAAGCTGTGGAGCTTGATTCAAGATTACTATATTTGTCTTTTAATATGATGGTACAAATGTTTACATTATTATAAGACTATCATGTTCAATTTTTCCAGAGGTACCTTGTAACCACAATGCATCACTTTACATGTACATAACATTTTAGTCGTTTTAAAATAATGCAATTCACATTTCAGACAATTTAAATATTTCTTTACTTACCCCAATTGTCATTTTTATCAGTTGCATAGTTCTCTCTTTAAGCTTGCTCTAATGAAAACGTGCTGGAATAGTATGTCCGGAAGAAAGTTTCACACTTCTTCGTGCCAAGTACGTATAAAAACACAAAGGAAAACTAATGTCTTGTCTCCAGCAGATGACTCCAGGTAATTCCTGACAAACGTCTAAAGTAAACAACACGGCCTTTCTATTTTAGATGGTACTACTTTACAATAATCTCTCCCTGCCTTGCAAAAAGGAACAGTTTCTCTGTCGATGGCACCTCAGCACAGTGGCCCTGCCGTGGGGTTTTGCACAGATATATTCCCTCCTTGATTGATTACTTTAGGTCTTGGGGGTTCAAAGCCGGTCACGAACACTTTCTGGATGTGAGCTATCTCTTATACCCCGGGCCCTTAATTGACACGATGCCCTAAGCCAGATGTCCCCGGCTACTCGGTGTTACCTGAGGAGGGCACATTAGTTGGTCAACCTTTCCCCTTAAAGTTCAAGGTAAGCTCAGGGGAACAACAGAAGGCGTCCTCCATAAAGGTTAAAGGTTGAGAGGATTATCCAGCAATTCAGAATGAATGAATCTATTTCAGACACTGCTCTTCATTTATTTAAATACTTTTACTCCTTCTCCTTGATAGCTAGGGTAAGAGTTACATAAAAAGTGACCTCTCAAAGAAAATATCATTAGTCTTCAAAGATCCTCAGGCATCATGAGTCACCCACAGGTCACCGTGAAGACATCTGTGACACTGAAACTTAAGCTTGTTAGACTGCTGATCAGGACGTCTTTATACCAACGCCTTCCAAAACATTTTCACATAAATTAATTTCACTTTTGCAATGCTGCATTACTGCAGTTTAAGGCAATTTACTGAAATCCTTTACTGTGCTAAACACTCTGGGAAAAGTTTACTAATGTTTTGCTCCTTTCTAAGCGCATTCTGACACAGACACATTTGGTATATATATCAAAAAGGCGCACCAGGCGGGAGGCCACAGTTTGTGTGTGAGTGTTTGCAAGGCGAGTCTCTCTTTCATTTGCATTTAAGATGTTAAAAAATGATCATGTGCTTTGTTGGATTAACTAAGGTTGGCTGAAGAGACAAAAAGGTGAACAACGCCTTCAGGAACTAAACAGCAGAACAACAGTAAATCCAGGTAAAAGGCAGTACATGCAGCCCTTGCTGTTTGACTAACCGGTATCCTCTGTGAGGTGCAGTGCAATAACACATAACAAGACTAGTGGCTCTCTGTACTTGACTAACAATGCGATTACTACTGGGGATCTGTGCCACTGCAATCTGCAAGGTCCAGCTAAGTTAAGTGTGTTTGGTTTATTAATCTATTGCAGGCACCTAGAGGACAAGATGTGATGGAAATAGTGTGGAAAGACATGGAATGTGGCACAGACATGCCCTTGTATAAATAAACACTTCTTGCAACCCTCTAAACTCAACAAACATGACCTATAAAATGTGAATTGGGGCGATTTAAACGATGCTGAGACAATTCTAAAAGAAATCCTTTCATGTGAGGACCTGAAATAATTCAAGTCTCTTCACAGCAGCACACGGCTGTATGAGAAGGTCATATGAAGCAACACTGACTGAAGGGTCCTTGAATGCAACAGCAATCAGTGCAGAGTATAAAACAGCTGCCAGGTATGATGGAAATTTTGTCTGAGAGACTGTGTGTGTGTGTGTGTGTGTGTGTGCTGCATTTCATTTAAAATGTCTCTGTGTTTGACACTGTACAATAGTCACATGAAAAGCTCTGTAGGGACTTTTAGTGATAGTGGTGGAAACAGACAGGAAGGAGGAAGATGAAAGTCTCCACTGCATGCTTACAGACCCACTAGAGATTGGTTTTTAAAGATCGCTTAATCTTCCTTCAACATATCAGTGTATGTTTACGACATATTACAGCCAGGATTGTCCTTCCCAAACGAACAGATTTATGCCATGTTTGGATTAAGGTTTGCTGCATCTTTTATTTTGTTAATTTAATAGTTGAAAGTGATGAGGACGTCTTTTGTGTGCTCATAGCTCCTACATATGTGAGCATCAGAGACATTTTTATTGTTAATGTCTCCAGTTTTTCTTTTTTATTTATGTCAGTGATCTCATTATGTTAACTAGTATAATGAAAAAGATAATTTTTTCCAACTATAACATTAACAGAAATTTCAGAAAAGCTTTAACATATGGATCCTTTATTTTGTAATTCTTTCCTATCCTGGAAAGAACAGACAGCCAGACTGCTCGTTTTCATTCAAAGTACACTTTAATTTATTATTGGACTTTATTCTAGACGTTGAATTGTATGCTTGCATGTAGGCAAATTTGACATATTGCATGTTGAACTGAGATGTTTTGCGCTGACTAAAATAGTTTTTTAACCTGTTATTTAATTAATATGTATTCATTATTAATTAATTGTACCAACTGAACTCAAATTTTTCTCTATTTCACATATTATTAGTGGCAAATTATACATGTTCCCTTACAGGAAATTTCTTACAAATTCGTTAGGAACTTACAGACCCGTAAAATAAAATGTTACTGTGGAACTACAGTTTAAGGACAACCCTCTGTTTATTAGTTATATTATCAAAACATTCTTAATTATACTACTGTAAGTTTAATTGCTCAGGAAGACAACATTCATATAACTTAATAACATGATTTGGATTTATTTTGCGTTTATTTGCAGGTCTTTATATTATCATACCAACCAGGATAACAGCATCTTAGCTTAAGCTTAGCTCCACTACCATAGGTACATGAACACAATCAAAAGAAAAGACGCTGTCTCTGCCTGCAGCTATTCTGCTTTTTTGCTACACAAATCTTATATTTCAATAATATTGCAGTAAAACATTCCCCTGGAAGTTGGTTAATGGTTTGGGTAATGGATTATGATTTTTGTTGGAGGGAGAAAGCCCCAAATGTGAACACAACACATTTTACAAGAGTGCTTACCTGAGTTACCAGCTCTAAACAGAATCAATCATGTCATTCAGGGCCTTTCACAACATTTAAAGCAAAATCTGAAGGCGGTTAACATCTGAAGCAGCTCCACCATTTTTTTTTGTGAAAAACTCAAAATCTTTAAGGAGTGCTCCAAAGCTCACCCAGACTGACAGAGAAGAGGAAAAGCAGAACTGAGAGGGAGGATAAATATTACCATTTTGAATGGCCTCATCTTTCCAGCGGGGGGAGCATTTTTCTGCTGGCTCTAAAATAGATGGGAGAGTCACTTTTAAAAAAACTCCTTGCTCAGTGAAACAGGTGAGAGAGGCAGACTGACGCTCCTCTGCTTTCCACATCAAATCAAAAGGAATCAACAATCAGGTGCTAATAAAACAAAATCTTTAACAGCAGCATCAGAAACATCACTTTATCACAGCATGTTGTTGTTGGTCTGGTGTTACAGTGAGCGAGGAGATCAGGTTCGTTTTCCTCATGTGATACATGTAAGCTCGCATCTGTTCACTATGCCGAGATTGATAGCATATGTGGCGGGCCAGCGAGGTCACCAGGCCTGGCTAAATCCACACGTGACGGCCAATTTGCCCTGTACACTATACTATCTGTGCTGACGAAGTGGCAAAGAGTTACTGTTCAAACTATGGGACAGCCATGGACGCTAGGCCATGGACAGCTGTTATCTCATTGGTTGTGCACAGAAAGGTCAAAGTCAAGCTTAAAAGTTCACTCTAGGCCTAGACAATGGCAGCTGTCCAGCCACTAGCTTGTTTTAGGGCTTTTGACCATACTGCATGATGTCCATCAGCATACTGAGTTTTTCCTCAGTTGTGATGGAGCAGTAAATGTTCAAACTTCATCGATTCTAAGCGCCTGGAGAACTCATTCATGTGGCCTTAAAAGGAGGGCTTAGCAGTTCACTGTAGACCTTGGAAACAGCAGGTGACAAAACAATCTCAAGGTCCAAAAGGTCAAAGTTGAAACTGACTGAATTTTGAGCACAGCACTGAGGTGTGCAATCTAAGCCTAAGGCTTCACTGCTGCAAGTTTAGGCCTCTTCTCTATAAAAAGACGCCGGCGCGAAGGGATTCTGCCGCTGATCATGTGTAGAGGGTCTAATTAGAGTTCCAAGTGATTGTAATTGTCAGATTTGATGCTCCCAGACTCAAGTTTGAAAAATAAAAAAATACAAAATGATACGTTGCTGGTTTAGACCTGATATGTTCGTACTTCAGTTAAGAATTTTAGTGTGCCATGATTGTCTACTTGTTGACAAGAATAGAAATCAGGGGAAATGTGGCAGACTTGTTTTGCGAATAAAGGTCAAATTGAGATTTCGTGAATATTGGCTTAAATATCTGCTATCAGCAACTTTAAAATACAGCAAATTTAAAGCATAGATACACTACATTTTTACACTATAAATATTATTTAGAACACACCTGGGGCTGTCGGGCTGCGAGTGTGTGGTGGGGCAATCAGGCCAGACATCTTACCTGACATACTGCTGGGGTTCAAGGCCAAGACGTCATCCTCAGAGCCTCCTCAGACATCTGGGTACCTACCTAGCTGAACACAGAGCCAAGACACCATCAATCACTACATGTATTACTCATATAGTAGCTGACAATATCAACACTTCAGTCTGTTCTTAAAAGGGGGTATTTTTTGCTGAAAGCTTGTTCCATCCCTGTATTTTAACAACAAAACTTGTGTGCTTACTACTACTCAAGTGCCACTAATTTGATGTAATCAGCCTCTTCAGCTTGATAAAACAGGTTGAACGAGGTGTTTGCATATCAGGGGACATATTAAAAGAGGGAAGAATTGCTGTGGTGTCAGATTATCAAAGGGAATATTGCACATGACCTGTCCAGATTATGGCCGTGACATTTTGCCGCCGTATACGGTGACATCTAGTGGTCAGACATGACAAATCACTTTACACACCCACTCAATGTCTGAGGTGTTGATTGCAGACTTTTTATTCTCGAGGTGTGGTTGTTTTTACTCTTATCACATATCCACTGTGATAATAAAGGAGAAAACAGATTAAAGGATAGAATGTCCAAAGGTGTTGCAGAATCATGCGATCTGCTGCAGTTAATCTGAAATGCACACACACACACACACACACACACACACACACACTCAGTGCTAGAGTTGCATAAATGAAGTACATCAGAGAAACTGAATGATAGGAAATTATGCATTTGCACATACACACAGAGTATGAACTGATGGTTGATTTTAATCTTGTCTTTGATTGTATTCAAAATACGATGATTACATGGATTCTAGAGAAACATGAAATCCATGTTAACATGATTCCAACATGTGATTGGAGGTGTGCTCTTTCTCATTTAGTTTAGAAAGTTTAGGGTGAACCCAATTGCCAATTTAGCGACAAATGTAGCCACTTGTTGGGCAGACATTAGCTGGCATTTAGCAGTGGAAGAAGGTAGCAAATTCACTTGACTGCAGTGCAACCAGACCTAAAGGGTCTCAATAAGGTATCCTTAATTAAACCAATAAAACTCTGGCCTGACCCAGCTGTCGTGGTTCCATTATGACGCCTCTTCAACCCCTGGGACATAACCAGATATGCCCCCTTGGAGCCTTAACCTCCCTTCTTCTCTCTCTGTCTATTTCCTTACACACAAGCACACACGCATACACACAACCCTACTGACATGCGCTGTACAATAAGAAAATCTAAATGCATCTATGCTTGCATAGTTTCTATTTTGCTAAAGCGACTGTCCACTCCAGTGACAGTTCCACCTAGCAAACTAGCCATCCATTATCTAGAACCTGAGGGTCCATAGGGGCTGGAGCCGATCCCTCTTTATAGTTTTGATCATTGTGATTATTTTGAATACACATTTTCACATTGTATTAAGTTGCATATTATCATCAATAAAAAAACAACAGATTATATTTTTTGATATCCGCGAATTATTTGTGCAGGGAGTCAGTAAACCACACCACAGCCCTACCTCAGCCTCTCAGCGACTACTTTGTTTGCTTTTAAGTATAGTTTCACAGTTTTAAATACTGGATTTAACAACGCTAGAAAATGTTCACAAAGATCCCAACCTAAACATGAGCAAATATGCGGTTCATGTTGTAAAGAAACCAGCCAGCACAGGTTAATCCTGGTTTAACTTTTTGGATTTGGCAACCTGGCTCCACTCAAATAAATGAGGAGGCTGCATTTTTTCATGCAGGGCTACGGTCAGTCTGAGAGACTGACCGTAGCCCTAACCCTGGGAGACAGGTCTGAAAGTTTTTACCTGTCATCCAGAAGCAAGTTGTATCTTCAAAAGGTATTATTGTGATCCCGCAGATGTCTACTGTCTGGGCGGTTGGTTGCCCGAGAGCAAAACTGGCATTTTCACAGATTTCACATACAGTACATTCCAGCAGAGGGGAAGAGCTGAGCAGAGCAGTAGGGTATGATATGAGGAAACGTTGAATATATACGTTAGTTTTGCCACAGGCAAACATTGTGTCATTCTGGAGAGGAAGCAGACCTCACACAAATACTTTGTACTGAACAATTAACAGAAAATCATTGAGGAGGACTCCGAGTACCCGGTTATTAAAATAATAACAAAATATGTATGTCTTATCATGGTCATCATATTGCATGGCAAGGTTGTGTTTCAGCAGATGGAACTGATGCTGGAAGTGCCTGCCCTTCCTCTCAAAGTCACACGTGCTTGAGATACCTTTCAAGACACACCGTGCTAACAAATAAGAGCACCTACACCCCGATTACACAAACATAGATCCCACAATGTTTGACTGTTCCTTTAAAATGTTGTTCCAGTCTAAAAAAAACTCTAGTCCATATACACAAATTTGAATTTGAATAATTAGAAAAACTGAAAGTCTATTTAGGCTAGCTCCAATGATTTTCCTGTCATTATCATGTCATTACCATCATGTCGAATCTAGTTGCAATAAGCACCATTTCATAAGCACCCAAAAAGCATTTAAAGCATTTAAACTATTACCAGTCTGCATACACAATCATTCAATCAAACCTTTTCAGACAAGACATTCAAATCATAGCTGCACAAAGGAACAAGTAAAAATGACCTGTTGTGTTTATATTACACGACATACATCATGTCCCCGGCTGACCAAGCCTTTACCTGCCTTTACTGTGGCACAGGTGTAAGTGTAAAGACGAGAATAAAATGTAATCGCAGCTTCTGATAAATCAACCATTAAAACAACCAACCACTCAAGACTTCCATTTTGTAACCCAGTGTACATGCTGTTTCAAAAACTCACAGTCAACGAGCACAGAAAAAAAAAAAGGCAAATGCAAAAAGAAGGACAGTATTCATAATTCCTTTGCACTGGAAGAACAGCTGGCTCGCAAAGCATTAAAGAAAGCTCTGCTTCGGTTTGCTGCTTTTTACCCAAGAGAGCATTTAATATCCAGACAACAGCTGCTTCATCCATACAACAGGTTTCTGAAGCTCTAGTGAGGACATAGACAGGCAGAGAGATGGCCAAAGATTTTCTGGCTGGAACAAACATGAAGATAGATTGAAAATCAGTCAATGAATGGGCTGTAATGTACATACATAGGACGGTGGAGATGTTTGCAGGTCACAGTAGGACGCTGAGATAACGAGACATAACAGTTACTGAGCAAAGTGACACTCCTCATGGGGCCATTTTTATAAATAACCCCCTATCAGATTCCTATATCATGGACAGAAGCCGAGTCCATCGGCTGAGCAAGCAGAATGGAGGAAAACAGTTGGCTCAAAGATACACCGGATGTTGAGGGAAAATGAGTATCTCATGATTGCTAGCTTCCTAAAGCTGGTTCCATTTTGGCTCCAGCTTCAGGTTAGTAAATTCCTACATTCGTTAAGCCCAGAAACAAACACAACTTCTTATAAATAATAAACTTTCTCACCCTCTCTCTCTTTTTCTTTTTTCTTTTTTACACAGTTGCTACACGGGAGAGCCTGTTTGTTCCCAAAGTATTTTTTAAGACTCAATTCCAATTTGAAGCTTTTAATTTCACTGGTATCCGCTACAGCCTGACGGATAAATCTGCGCGTCGATATTTTTGGCCAATATGAGCTAATGGCAGAAAAATAGGTATCTGTGTTTATAACAGCCGGTAAAAAACGATTAAAAAAGAAACGAAGAGACGGATCC